CAATGACTCCAAGCAGCAAAACAGAACTTTCTAGAAATTAAGTGCAGGGGCACCCCTTGCTCAGAGGGATCTGTGTTCCTTTATTAGAGGTATCTACTGAAATCCTGTGACTGCTGGCTCTTTCAAGATTACCTCTTCTTACCTCCTTATCTGGGATTGAATTTATGGACCTGTGATATCGAGCACACAGTATGCTAATGAGGAATTCTTTTCCTTATTTTTTTCTTAGGTACCTTAAACACTCTGCGTTTACATTGTCTATTCCGTTCCTTCTAAAGCATAGCATAGGGCTAGGGGGATAGCTCTGTAGATGCCCAGTAACTTGTGTTTGATCCTGGAAACCTATGCAAAGTGGTGGAAGAAAACTGACTCCACAAAGATGTCATATGACCGCCACATGTGTATTGTGGCCCATTTGGACACACACATACACAAACACATACACCATGCATATATACATTCACACATACACAAAAATAAATTATGTTAAAATTAAAAAGCCCACAGCACTGCACATACCGACTCACTAAACAAAATCTCTAATCACTCCCTATGAAGTGGTAAACACTTAATTTGACACTTAACTTTTTCCAACTTGGTCATCGATTATGCAATTTACTCTATCTCATCACACTTATCTTTATAAAACTCGGGCTCCATTTATGCCCTTCCTGAAGACATTATCTTGCATATTTCAGTACTGTACCTCTGCTTATGATATTTCTTAGGTTGAAAGAACAATCTTTTTTTTTTTCCTTAAAACTATCATCCACTGAAGCTCCAATTAAGACCGCTCAAGTTTAAAAATAAGCAAGTCTCTTTAGCTTTTGCAACATTTGCTTTTTATGCCACTCATTAGGTGCCTAGCTGAGGGTACAAGGTAAGACCTGATTTTGTTGTCGTTGTTCTCATCAGGGAAAGGTTCCCCAGAATTCTGATTGATACAGTTTTTAACCTCTCTGTCTATGGAGGAAGCATATTTAAACAGACACTGTATTTGTAATGCACTTTCTATATTTTTGAGGATGAAACTACTACAAATCCCTGCCAGGATAAAAAAGACAAGGTCTCTGCACCTAAGAATTGTGTAATAAAGTTCAGCTTTGAATGAAAGGAAACAAGTCCTTAGAGGGCTCTTGCTGTTTGCTATGCTTTCCCTGAACACAGTCCCTCAGCTCAGGCAGGACCACAATTCCACTCTGGATATACAAAGATTACATTTCCAGCTAAAATGGGGCCTTTGGACTGAATTTTGAGCAATGGAATGCACATAGTTGTAATTAAAATGTACTTTGTGTTGAGTTGTCTTAAGCCCATTTGTCACAAAGACAAATGCTCTTATATAACTCCACTTTTGTTTTTAAATGGGAATGTTGTGCACATCCCTAATCCCACAGATTAGAGGCAGAAACAGGTGGACTGCTATGAGTGTGAGGCCACCTTGTCTACATAGTGAAGCCTTGTCTCAACATAAATGTTTGTTTTCCTTTCTCTTGAGTATTATAATTGGAGGGCACTCTCACTATTCTAATTATGGATGGATTGATGAAATCTATTCCATCAATGAATGTACTCAAAATCTGTTTATTCTTTGCTCAAATTAAGGACATTTACTTGGCTTCTACTTTGGGGCTATTATACATAAATAAAGGTGCTATCAACATGATGAAAAATATTTTAAAAAGTAGAGGAGTCTTTTTTAAGCATTTTGCAATTAATTGACATCTAGCATTGTTTCAATTTAAATTGTGAATCTCTCTCAAAGGCTTATGTGTTGCAAAGTTTACATGCTGGGCCCTACTGAAAGAAAGGATGATGGGAACCTGGTCCTTTCCTGTTTTTCTTTCACTTCTAGGACACCGTGACATAATGCTTTACCACAAGCTCCAAAACATTAAGCCAAATTACCATGGATGTATATACTTGATATTAGTCCTCTGTTAGATAAAGGGTTAGTGAAGATTCTTTCCCAATCTGTAGGCAGTCATTTTGTTTTGATGACAGTGTCCTTTGCTTTACAGAAGCTTTTCAGTTTCATGAGGTCCCATTTATTGATTGTTGCTCTTAGAGCCTGTGCTGTTGGTGTTCTGTTCAGAAAGTTGTCTCCTGTGCCAATGATATCTAGGCTGTTCCCCACTTTTTCTTCTAACAGATTGAGAGTATCTGGTTTTATGTTGAGGTCTTTGATCCACTTGGACTTTAGTTTTGCACAGGGTGATAAATATAGTTCTATTTTCATTTTTCTGCATGTGGAACTAAAGAAGCTGAAAAGCAGCAAACCAAGTAATCCAATTAAAAAATGGGGAACAGAGCTAAACAGAGAATTCTCGACAGAGGAATATCAAATGGCAGAGAAACACTTAAAGAAATGATCATCCTCATTAGCCATCAGGGAAATGCAAATCAAAACGACCCTGAGATATCACCTTACACCCATCAGAATGGCCAAGATGAAAAACTCAAGGGACAACACATGCTGGAGAGGTTGTGGAGAAAGGGGAACCCTCCTTCACTGCTGGTGGGAATGTAAACTGGTACAACCACTCTGGAAATCTATCTGGCGCTTTCTAAGACAATTAGGAATAGTGCTTCCTCAAGACCCAGCTATACCACTGCTAGGTATATACCCAAAGTTTGCTCAAGTACACAAAAGGGATATTTGCTCAACCATGTTTATAGCAGCTTTATTTGTAATAGCCAGAACCTGGAAACAACCCAGATGTCCATCAACGGAGGAATGGGTACAGAAATTGTGGTATTTTTACACAATGGAATACTACTCAGCAATCAAAAAGGAGGAAATCATGAAATTTGCAGGCAAATGGTGGGATCTAGAAAAGATCATCCTGAGTGAAATATCCCAGAAGGAGAAAGACAAACACGGTATATATTCACTTATATAGACCTATAAGATGTGATAAACATAATGAAATCTGTACACCTAAAAAAGATAATCAAGAGAGCGGACATGGGGTAAGATGATTAATCCTCGTTTAGAAAGACAGATGGGATGTGCATTGAACGTATGACAGGAGTCTACTGAGCGCATTTGAAAGACTCTAACTAGCAGTGTTTTCAAAGCAAAGACTCATGACCAAACCTTTGGCAGAGTACAGGGAATCGAAAGAAAGAAGGGTGTTAGTCTGATGGGGAAAGGATAGGAGCTCCACAAGGACCAAATATATCTGGGCACAGGGTCTTTTCTGAGACTGACATTCAACCAAGGACCATGTATGGATATAACCTAGAACCTCTGCTCAGATGTAGCCCGTGGTAGCTCAGTAACCAATTGGTTTCCCATAGTGAGGGGAACAAGGACTATTTCTAACAGGAACTCAATGACTGGCTCTTTGGCCTCCCCACCCCCCAAGGGAGGAGCAGTCCTGTTAGGCCACAGAGGAGAGCTTTGCAGCCAGTCCTGAAGATACCTGATAAAACAGGATCAGATGAATGGGGAGGAGGTCCCCCCTATCAGTGGACTTGGCAAGGGGCACGGTGGAGATGAGGGAGGGAGGGAGGGACTGGGAGGGAATGAGGGATCTGGACACGGCTGGGATACAGAGTTAATAAAATGTAACTGATAAGAAAAAAATAAAATTCAAAAAAAAAATTACCATGGATGGACACCTGTGAAACTGTGAGCCAAACTGTTTCTCCAAGGTATCTCCCAGCAACAGAGGGCCAACATGAAGAGAGCACAGTTGCTCTCCAGATGTCAAAATCCAGGGGAGTCTAGTTCTCAACTGTGTATATAGTCATGCATACTTTGAATCACCTCTGGATTACTTATAATTCCTAACACAATGGAAATGCTACACTAATATTGCCATAAGTTTTTTTTTTTTTTTTTTTTTTACACTCAAAGAGATATGTATTTTTTTTCTTTTCTGTAATTTTGACATATGGTTGGTTGAGTATGAGGATGCAGAAAGCCAGGCTATAGAAGACCAATTACAGGACATTTACATGAAGAAATGCCTGTGATAGCACTTTTCAAAACAAGAAGTGGAGAGGACTAAGGTACTAGTATTTCAAATAATAAAGGGCAAAGCAGCATGAACTGGAAGTTGAAATTCGTGAATTGTCTTGTATTCACTTTAGAAAAGAGACTCCTGGATACTTTTCTCTCTGCACCAATGTGCCAGTTGTTCTGAATGGGAATTTCAACTTTACCATCTCTGAAAACAGCTCTACACTGCTTGGCCAGAAGAGGCAATATCATTACCAGAAAAATGAGACATAACCATAGTTCACTTAAAGATACTGCTTTGTTCCATGATTTTCAACAAATATGTCATAACCACCACCACAAGGAAAATAGAAAACAGTTCCATCACTCCAAAAATATTCTCTTATGCTGTTTTCTCATGGGCAAACATCTCTTTACTCTTACACTTTGGAAACCACTAGTTTATTTTCGTTCTAATGTTGCCCTTCCTATAATGGGCAACAATATTGTCCTTGAATCTGATGCTTTTCATTTGGCATAATTTACTTTAGATTGATATTTTTGATTTAGCATAATCTATTTTAGATTAATCCATACTCTTTTAAGTCTCAATACTCTGTGTTCTTAATTGTTGAATTGCATTCCATCAATGAATGTACTGAAAATCTATTTTTTCATTGCTCAAATTAAGGACATGTGCATGCTCTCTACTACTTTGAGGCCATTAAATATAAATAAATAAAGGTGCTATAACCATTCATGTACAAGTTTCATGTGAACTTAAGCTTTTGTTTTTCAAGTAAAAACCTCAGGTAGAATTTATTTAAACAAATACTGCTTAATGAAGTAGTCTCTAAGAGAGAAAACAAACATTTAAAAGATTAATGATTATAGAGAGAACTGGTTGATATCAGCATGATGAAACAAAAGCCAGGAGAACATTTAGGATATGTCCATTTATAAAATCAATTTGTAGAAAACTATTTCATATGAAGCTTTTAGATTTATAAACATCTAACTTTCCCCATGGAGCTGCCATGTAATATTTTACCTATCAGTTGATGAATAACCCCCTGTTCACAAAGATCTGTGTTCACCATCTCATCTTCGAGATAAACCATAGCTCTGAGGAGTCGTAAAGTGTAACGCATCTGGGCAAACTTGTTTCCACGGCCGCCTGTACCATGGAAACTGTTACCATGAATGAAGAAGGAATCTGTGGAAAAATTAATAATTTAATTTATACTAAGAAATCTAAAGCATAAACATTTCAAGTAAATGTTTTCACTTATAAACAAAACACAAGATATTTTTACACATCTATACATTTCAACAGATGTTAAAATTCAGATGTAAATAAATTATGTTTACTTTGTTTTCTCTTTTACAGAAATATGATCCCTTCTCTCCCTCTTTCTAGTCTCAGAATGTTTTGCCCAAATGTTTTGCCCGAAGGTTTTGCCCAAAGGTATCATTGTTTGTGTCTTTTGCATCATTCTTCTATTAGGAAATACCATGTCTTAAAAATCCCTCACACTGGGGGCTAGACCAGCAAAGAATGCATAGTGCACTTGCAGTTCACCCATATTCAGGTCCCAGAACCCACAGTGGGCAGCTCACAGACACCCGCAGCTCTAGTCCAGGGGTCTGACACCTTGGCTTCTATGGACACCTGCACTCTCATGTCAGCCCTTGTGCACGCACACACAGTTAAAATCGTAAATGTTTAAAATCATCTACACTGTCATATGTGGACTTAAGTCATTATTTTAGTTGCCTTCAGCATTCACTTAAAAACAAACCACAGTTTCCCCACTCACTGGTACAATCAGTACAATGACGATTCCGTACTTATCTGCACGGAGAAGGGGCTCTGAGAGACACAAGTCATACAGGAATGTTATCTTACGGAAGTTACCATAGTGACAAAATACACAAAGCCACCTGATTTTTGTCAAGTCTTTTAAATGTGATATGGAAGTTCATTTTAAGCTTAACCTGAATTTCTCTTATTCCTTCTCTGGTTGGGCATCTAAACTGTTTTTAGAACACATGAAACTCTCTGTATGACATGGCAATCCCATCTTTTCTATGCTTGTCGAGCAAATTACCTTCATGCTACAATACATAACTTCTTTAGAAAGTTCCACTTGGATTTCGTATTAATCAAAGTGTAGCAGCTGCTTCAAATTAGGGTTGGTATTTTATTTAGATTTTGGTATATAATTGTTTGTGAGTCTTATAATTGTTATGTATATAATTTTTTCCCCTCCTGCAGCTTAAGCTCCTCAGCTTTTTATTTATTTCCTCTTCTGATGTTTATCAGCATGGTATTTATCACATATTCTTTAAGTCTTACAGTTTAGGCTTTTGAACTGAAGCCTTCATTTTGCAGCTGATTTTTTCAAATATGGTGAGATAATCTAAACTTCCCATTTTCCTCTCTATGAAGGATCCATTTTCCCTCACGGACCACCAACGCCCCTGGAAAGGACGCCTCACACAGTCAACACTTTCTATCCCTGCAGCGGGACTACATCATCGTAGCTACTATGGCTTTGTGGTCAGTGTTGATAAAACCAAAGTAATTTTTCACTCCTTTTGGAGACAGTCACATGGGTCCCAAGTAGGTCTCCATCCTGTTAGGTAGTTGAGGATGGCCTTGAACTTTGAATCCTCCTGTCTCCACCTCCCAAGTGCTGGGGTTATAGGTGCATGCCATCATGCAGGATCTCAGCAAGCACTCTACCAACTCAGGTACATTCCTAGTATCCCCTTTCCTTTTTGTTGCAATCCTTTATTTCAAGAAGAAGCGTTAGGTTTTTAAGAGAATTTTAAGGATTTTTTAAAAGAGAATTCAAGCACTACTGTTGTGTTAGAAGTGCAAGTTTGGGGGGCTGGCTTAAATCTTTGCTCTGCCTTTGTCATGTGGTCAGAAAGTCATTATGTAACTTCTCAGACCTAGCTCTACCCCTCTGACAAACCAGGGGCAGTAAGAGCCTGAACATCTTAGATTTGTTGGTAGGACTGCATGAGAGTGTCTGCCAGGTTGGTGAGGCCCAGCACGGAGGGAGCACTCAGTAACTCTTAACTACACGGCCTCCCATTACTAGGCAGCATTTCCAATTTTGCCTTGGAGTTGTCTGTAAATAAAAAGGAATATGAACGATACTCAGGGGAATTGTTTTATTTAATAATTTAATAAGGTTAAGCATAGCAACTTAATATATTAGAAGCTAGAAAATAAAAAAGATTAAAATGTCATCTCCTTTGTGAGTGAATAAGTGATTTTCTTCTCTATTTTTACCCAGGTTGGCTTAAAGTCATTGGCTCAAGGAAGCCTCTTGTCTCAGCACCTTTAATATCTGGGACTAAAAGTCTACATATCTGGGTCTGTATCACTACTGATCTAATGAAAATGAATCCTACAAAACTCTTTTCATCCAGGTTGGTGGTGAATGTCTATAATTTTAGCACCTAGGAGGCTGGGGTAGGAGGATGATGAGTTTGTGGCTACCCTAGTGAATTCTAGTGAGTCTTGCCTCTCCATTTCCCCACCCCCACCACATATTCCAGAGGAAAAAATACTTCCTGAAAGAAACAGGATCTTCCTTTTCAATTTTTTATGTACACAAGTATATTTATTTTCCTTCTAAATGTTGAATAAATGACATTTACAAGTTGAGGCTTTTCTTTTTGGTAGACTATGTCCTTGAGCCAGTGTTTCTGGCTAGAAATCTAGATTTTAAACTTTATGAAGTTATTTAGGGATTTGTGTGCCTTTTAGCTTAAATGTATTTTCAGCAGCTGTCTGCTACTCAGTAGGCACTCAACAAATGTTTGTTGAATAAATATAGTAAGCTATTGTCCAGATTTATTTCTTTCCTAAGTATAATTTTTGTATAGGCCTCATAGCATAAGAATTTAAATAAAATCATATATAATTTCTTTTAAGTGTTCATTTATTATATTTAATATCTAAATATAATTTAGATATTATTGTTAATATCTAACTGAAATCTCAACATTTTGAAAAGACTTGTTTTATTTCTAATTATGTGTAAGTGTGTCTATGTGAAGGCATGTGCACCTGAAGAGGCCATTGAATCCCCCGGAGCTGGAGTTCCAGAGTTGTGAGCTCCCTGCCATAGGCGCTTGGAGCCCAACTCGGGTCTTCTGCAGCAACAGTATAACACATTAACTGCTGAGCCATCTCGCTAGCCCTAAAATCTCCACGTTTATGAAGTCATATAAATACAATAGAAGAATGAATTCAATACTTTTATCTTCTGTGATGTGACTGTTGCTTTTGTGTGTGTGTGTTGAGAGTCGAGTTGAAATGCAGAGTAGACCCCTGACAGGGCCCTGAAGGGCACTCACCCTCGTGATCACACCACTGGAGGAAAGCCAGGACTTGAGCATTGCCACGGCAGGACATATAATCATCTATTAACAGAGGCGCCACTGAGGACAAGGTGGCAATGGCATGCAGCTGTAGCTCTTCGTACTGTGCAGCAGACCACTCAACGATTTTGAGTTTCTCAGCCTTTTTGACATAGCTAAACAAAGCCAAAATGACTTTGCCATCAATTAAAAGCTATGAGAAAGGGCAAAATATACTTTGTTAAAAGCATAATTAAAATACCTTTATTTGATTAGCAAAATTAAATACAAGGTTTTGAATTTAATGCTTTAGTGATAATTTCAAAACATTTCCTTTGTATCTGTTACACTACACCAAACACACGGAAACAAAAAGGATAACACACTACCACCATCACCAACAGCTTTGTGACAGTAAGAGCACTGACTTCCTTTTCTGGGGTGTGAGCTCTTCAGCTGACAGAAACAGAAAATACACATTCATTTATTTTGTCACATATTTGTTTCTACATATAACAAAAATCATAGAGGTAGGAAACTGAAGGCGAATAAATGGCTGGCATTTCTTTCCTCATTTTTCATTTTTCTTTAGTTTATAGTGCCAAGGCCTTGTGCATCCCAGTCAAACAGCCTACCAGTAAGCCACACCTCTAGCCCTCAAAGGAGGATAAATGAAGCAACAGGGCAATAAAAACTGTTTCTTAAGTGCAAATGATGGACTTTATAAAATGTATCAACCACTGTCAGGTCACAAGCCATACTTAATTAGACACCTTAAGATCTTATAATTTTACGGAACATAGCATTTCAGGAAAAATTAAAAAATAATGATAAAGTGACCAGTTGTTAGTACAGCTGACACTAGTTGATGCATAGTTCAGTTCACAAGAGTGTAAAGCACCAACCTATATTACACTATTTTTTCACTTGCTTAGCATGAGTCTCCAGAGAGTTTTCCCTAGCAGTTATGAAGTTTTCTCTCTTACTTCTGTACTGAATTCACTAGTGTGTCACTTCATGGTGTACCCTGAAAGAGAGCAAGTCCTGGAGCTGAGTAAATAGGGACACAAGTGGTTCCAATATCATGTGAAAAGTCAGTGGACAGCGTGTGAAACACTCTGCGAACCGTGTACACATCGATTATTCCTGCTATTGGTGGGCCAAAGATATTTAACCTCAACAATTAACTCCACTGTTATTAACAATCAAATAAAATAAAATCTTAGGATAACCTTTGTGCTATTTAACCATGTTGTCTATAAAATACTCAACCAGTGTAAATCATTTGATAAAATGTAAAATAAAATGTACTTTTTGACTTATAAGACTTGGATAATTCTCCACTGTAACAATAAAACATATTCTATGGAAGGATTTTTCTGTTAAGCACTTCAGAAAAAAATAAGCTGTATACATTACATATTTTGATATAAATGATAAAATTATAACCTAAATGCAACTTATCTCTCTTATTTTGCTGTATATATTAACATTAACTATGCTATAAAGTGAGATAATTTTTAATAATTTTGGTATTTTGACTAGACTTTACCTGTACAGTAGTTAAATCTTTACATAAGATTACAATTATGTTGAACAGCAGCTTCTTCAACTCAAAATCTTCATAGGCATTAGAAAGCTTAAGACTTTTTACCAAAGGATTTTGACTTTTAACTGTGAGACAAAAAGGGAGAGTGAAATGAAAGCTAAAATTATACACAAAACGCATCAAGACACTTACAAAATGCTTAAGATGGTATAATCTTTTACCTTCATTAAAAGTTGCAAATAGTATCAAATCCCTGGTAAAGCCACATTCCTATTACAAACACACAAAATAAGCAGAAAGGTGAAATTATATTCGCCTATTATCCAACTGCTGCTATAAATTTTCCCTACTGTAATTCATTTGAATTTACAATATAAATAACAAACAAAAGCAAAAAAAGCAACCCCATGTGACCAGGCAGCTCTAATGTACTTAATGTAACCCTGTTACTGAGGCTTCTAAGGCGTACTCTGTTATGAATACTGAATGCCTGCTGCGATATGTAAAAGTGAGTGAGAAGTCAATACAGAAAGCCTGCCTAGTTACTTCTGTGATTCACTGTCTATACCTTTAAATGATTCCATAATGGAGGAGACTCCAGTTCTTTTCAATAGCTGTTCTTTTTGTTTGTTTGCTTTCGAGACAGGGTTTCTCTGTGTAGCCTTGACTGTCCTGGACTTACCCTGTAGACCAGGCTGGCCTGGAACACACAGTGATCTGCCTGCCTCTGCCTCCTGAGTGCTGGAATCAAAGGTGTGTGCCGCCACACCCAGCTCAACAGCTAATCTTTTCAGTGCTCCCTTTATCCCAGTCACTCTCATTACATCAAAGGACAGCCAGGGGAGAGCAAAGCAGTGCTACCTAACAGGGAGAACTCTGAAGAACTATGGTGGTTACAAATAACCACAGCACAGGGGACTCGTTTTTCACAGAGACAAGCTGATTGGAGTTTGTATATTAAGGAAGGTTTATAGATTCATATAATACTGGGCTTTTGCATTGATTTTTCTACCTCTTCTGGAGTCACTTGGTTTCTTTAAATATAGGAATGTTATTGCTTTGGTTTTTGTTCCCGAAATCATTGGAATGTTTACAGCAACAGAACTGAGAACTCCCTGACTGGCTGTGGCCTGTCAGATAAACACCAGGGTCTGCATAGATTCCACAGACTTAACTAGGTGCTATGTCAGGTTGCTTATAAAATTTCACAGCATGAATTCCATAACTTCGCTTAGATTGGACCACTTGTTGTATACTGACAGGTATTGGGACCTTTATAGTTAGTTCTTTGAAACCCAACATAGAAAGTAATATGGACAAAGTATAAATATCATTGCAAAATCTCTCTATTCTAAGATTTCAATCATTCAATGATTTTTTTTCACTATAAAGTAAGGACAGGGAGGGGCTGGAGGGATGGCTGAGGAATTAAGAGTGTGTACTGCTCTTATAGACAGCCTGAGTTCAGTTCCCAGAACTCACTGTGGTGTCTCACCACCATCAGTAACTCCAACTCTACGTGTTCCTACACTCTCTTGTGCCTCTGTGGGCCCCTACCCTCTCAGACAAACCTATACTTAGATACACACACACACAAGACTAAAATATTAAAAATAAATATCTTTATATATAGGGAAAGTTAGCTTCTGATATGGCTAGGTGATTATGATAAAGCAAATCTTTGAACAAAATATTAAAAGTATCAATCTTGTGGTCACGATAAAGTAGACAATGGAAGAAAGTTGGAACTCTGATAAAGACTAAAGAAAAATTCACTGTGTAAATTCTCATACCAACTCCTTTTTTTTTTTTAATAGATTTTATTTATTTTATGTGAATGAGTGTTAACCACTGGGCCATTTCTCCAGCGCCCTACCAATTCCTTTTAAAAATGGTATTTAGCCTGACAGCAATCCCTATTCTACACCTTGTGAAGATACTAAACTCAAAGGTCACCCGGGTGTCTAAGTGGGCCAGTGAATCAGAGGACTGAGGTAGCCATAGACGCTTGAATGAAAAGAAGAAAGCCAGAAGGAGAACTCAAATATGTACACAGATGGTTCCCCAGTCTCTAAGTGTGCCTGACCTATTCAACATGCTGATTTCTACACATTATAACTAGGGCCCAAATACAGATTTAAAAAGAACCAAGCAGAGATTTGAACTGTAATCCACCACAGATATGAATGTAGACAAGTTTAATTTTCTACTACTAATAAAATTGAAAAGAGTACTCTCCTAAGGCTGATGTCAGAATCTATAGAAAAGACACTCATAACGAATGGGAATACAAGAACTCTGCACTTAGGTAGAAATGGGTAAAAGGAACCAAAGGGGACTAGGAGTGTCTCTCAGAGGTAGAACCCTTGCCTACCATGCCTTGCCGAAAGTCCTGGGTTTGATCACTAGAACTGAAGAAAAGAAAAAGAGAAATTCTAATATCTGAAATACAAACACACTAGAAAAGATAATCAGAACAATGGATGAGACAGGAAAGTCGGTTAATTTAAATATATAGAACAATTCAACGATACAATCTGAGGACTAGAGAGAAATATTATTGAAAAAAGTGACCAGAATCCTACAACCATATAAGAAAATGTAAAAAAAAGACAAAAAAACCCCAAAAAACAAATGTATAAGTAATGGGAATGCTAGAACAAGAGAGAGAAGAAACTTAAAACCATTGATGAAAATAATCACCCAAATTTGGTGAAAAAATTTACATATGTAGAAAAACTCTATAAAATATAAACACAAAAGTGACCAAGCCTTTGCACACTGTAGTGAAACTGCTGCACACCAGCAATAGAGGGGGGAAATATCTTGGCAATAGAATTTAAAGGACACTCTCCATAACAGAAGCAAGAATCCCAATAAGAAGTACTTACCAGGGACAGCAGAGGGCAGAAGACAGCAGGACATTATCTTTCAAGTGCTAACAGAGAATTGTTTTCAACCTAGAGTTCTATATTCAATGAACATAAATTTCAAGAAGTAAGATGAATTGCAGATATTTTTAGATAAAAGAAACCCAAAGGACTTTGCTGAGACTAGGCAGCACGTTTGTACCACAAGAAATGATAGACAACGTTCTTTCATTGAAAAAGAAATGAAGCTAGATGGACAGAAACAAAAGAAAAACACCAGAAATGATGAATATGTTAGTGATGAAATAGAAAAAAGATTCTGGCTTGCAGAGAAACATAGCAGAATGACAGAAGGGAAGTGCAATGTGACGATAATGACATTAAAATATAACTTAGCACTGCAATAAAACACATAAATACTAAAACATAATACAGAACACTCCCGCCACTTTTGCCATTGAAGTTAATGATATCTGATGCATACTTACAATCATTGGTGCTCCGGGGTTCTGAGCGATAATTGTGGTCAAAACTAATATATCATTTCTAAGTTGACGATCATAATGACTATGGCCCCTCATAAACAAATTTTTAAATACATCCTTCAAAGCCCTAGAAAATAAAATATGAAAAGTGATATTGTTATGGGCAAAATGTTTGTGCTTTTAAAATTCATTTGTTGAAAGCCTCCCTTGTATGAAGTGCATTGGGAAGTATGTTTATGGGAAGCATTTAGACTGCAAAGGTGGAGCCATAATAAAGGAATCAATGTCCTCAGAACAGGAACCCCAGGGAGCTCTTTTGTCCCTCCCCTTCCCTGTGAGATGAGAAGCCTGAGGCCTGCTGTGTGGAAGTGTGTTGAGCAGAATTCTGCCACTCGGGCACCCTGAGTTGATTTCTAGCCTCTAAGACCCATGAGAAGAAGATTACTGTTGTTTATAAGCTACAGTTCTCTGAATCTTTGTTAAGGAAGGCTGAACTAAGACACATTTCTCTGGAAATACTTATGTCTCTTTCAACAAAATCCGAATTCCTCATCTCTTTATCCTTCCCAGTCTGCTTCAATTTCACAACAATGTACCAGATAAGAACCCACTGATTTAACTATACACAGTTGTCAATGTGATCATCTACACGATTCAATCATGTCGTGTTAGAACCGTTCAAAGCCTCTCCTCTTCTTAGGATAAAGTCCTCTGTTCTTTCCAAGCTTCCCAGGGCTGAGTCATGGTTCTTGCTCTTACTGTAGTCTCAGTTCTTACCACCTGCCCTGTTCTTCTCCTCTCATCATACCAAACTTCTTTTAGTCTTTTTCCTCTAACTCGGATTTTTACTTCTCATTTCCCAGGTTTTGATGCTCTCTCCAAGAAGCTTTTCCATGTGACTAATTCCTAATCACTGAGATGCTGCCAAGGTTAATGAACACGAGGAAACATAGACCAACTTTCAGTTCCAGGTCAGGTAGTAGGCAGTCATGTTTATCTCTTGGGATCCCTTTGCAGTTTCTTTGGAATAACACCATCCTTAATTTTTATTTTTGAATTCATTCTCCCTGAATTGTGGTTCTACAGGGATGAAGTCAAAAGAGTGGAAGAGAACACCAATAAACAGAGAAGAGGTAACTCCTCATGTTTGCTGAGATCTGAATAAAGAGGCTCACCAAATCAGCTTTTTTTTTTTTCTGTTGCTGTGATAAAACACTGACCAAAAACAACTGAGAGTGTGAAATGCTTTATTTGGTTTACACTCCCAGATCACAGCCCACCACTGAAGAGAAGTCAAGGCAAGAACTCAAGTAGAAACCATGGAGGAACTGTGCTGGCTGGCTCACTTATAGGCTCATGCTTAGCTAGTTTTCTTGTACGGTCTAGAACCTCTGACCAGGGGAGGGTTCTGCCCACAGTGGGTTGGGCCACCTCATATTAGTTATAATAAAGACAACCACCCAAAGACATACAGGCCAATCCGATCTAACCAATCCCTCAATTTCTACTCTCTTCTTTGTAATTATGGACTGTGCTAAGTTAACAGTTAAAGCTAACTAGGATAGTAGGGTTGTTTTGGGGTCACTTGAAAACAAAGACATGTTCATCCATCTTATTCTGAAAAATATACAATGCCTTGCAAAAATTTCTTTGTTTATTATACTTTCTTTTAATTGATTATGTACTTGTTTTGTCTATAAACATAAGAGAAATATTATTTTTAAAGTAAAATGTTATTTCAGATTTTGTGTGTGTGTGTGTGTTTTGCTTCCAAGTATGCCTGTACTACATGCATGTGTGGTACTTATGACATTCACAAGAGGGCACTAGATCCCCTGGGACTGGAATTGTGAGCTGCTGTGAGCTGCCATGTGGGTGCTGGGTATCAAAACCAGGTTCTCTGCAAGAACCTATCTGCTGAGCCATCTCTTCAGTTCTTCTATTTTATGTATTGATACAGGGTCTCACTATGTAGCTCTCTTTTCCCTGGAGCTCACTCTTGAACTCACAGAGATCTATCTGTCTTCCTCTGTCTTCTAGGTTGTGGGATTAAAGGTATGTTACTACCACACCAGACATTATTTATTTTTTTATGATCTCAAACTGACCCTAGCAAAACAGATAACTACTTATTATACAAGTGAGTAAGCAACTTGAAAACTTATTCATACTTATTGACTATTTTAAATACAGAACCGGAAAGGTTGTAAATGCTAATCAGAAATCTAATAAGTATTTCTAAAAGTCCAATTTTCACTTTATCCACCTGTAAAAGCATAATTTAGCTATACAATAAGACACTTTTAGAGCGTCGTACATAGACAAGTGTGGCTTTTCCTAGGTGTAGCAGTACACAGGTGTATGTAATTCCAATACTGGGGAAGAAGGAGACTAGCCTCACTCAGCTAAACTGCACGTTCCATTCTTACTACTGAGACCTATCTCAAAACTGATAAAACAACAAAAGTATAGCTTCTAATTGTGGAGACTTATTTCTACAATGATATGAAACACAGCCATCAGATAAATCAATAACTTAATTGAGCACAAAGTTGTTGGTTATCTATCATTGGCTATAGTGCAAGGCAAAAGACATTCCTATCTATCTACACGCACTTACAGCAGGCATTCCAAGTTACTAAGCTGTGGTACGATTTCCTCTTTTGAAGATTTTTCCAATAAATTCCAAAGTACGTCTGATGAACGAAATAGAAGCTGTCCTGAGGGATCTGGGTCATTGAGGTGAGCACAGATTCTGCTGGCTGCTTGGGCTTTCACCATTAAAGTGCAATTAACATCTGAAAATGTAATTTAGCAAACTATTTATTTTGCACAGTCTGTTAGAGGAAAAGAAAAACAGGGGGCAATGACATGTTTAAATTCAGTAATATTATACACACCAGAAGTAGAGAGATGCTGAAGAACTTTAAGAACCCAGAGTTTCTCAACAAGCTGATTTTCAGTCAGGAGAACTGACTGGACCATTGATGTTGCCAATTCTCCGACCTCAGCCATTTTAATCTTGTATGAGGAGCTAACTTGCTGGTAGCCTAACATTGTAACAGGGACAGTTATTTCACACGATGATCATTTAACAACAGACACAATTTCAAAAACATTTTAAAGGACATGTGACATTTATAATTTGTACAGTACAGGGATGGACAAAGATTTCCATAGACCTTTATGAAGGGCCAGACTGTCTATATTTATTCTGTATAGGTTATTAACATATCTGTCTCAATTATTTAGCTCTAGATGTTGTGGCATAATATCATAGCAAGAAGAAAGCCATAAATAATATGAAAATAAACGGACATGATTGTGTCCACTAACATTTAATTTGCAGTATCCCAGTTTTTTCCCTTGGTTTTAAGGGCCTGGGGTGGAGGGGGCTTAAGTTTTTGGCCTTGAAATAAATGCATAGATTTTGAAAACACATCTTAAATTTTAAAAACAAAAACAAAAACAAAACATAAACAAAAAAGCAAACAAAAAACAAAACAAACAAATCCAATTATCTGCAGGTAACTTTTTGTAAAGCCAAACAACATGGTTGTAAATTACATTTTCACTCTGTGCGACAATGTGCTGCTTCAACTCTTTCAAGAGATAAGAACTGCATCATATCAGCAGTAAATGAGGGGGGAGAAGCAAATGGTTGTGAATACAGGGCTATTTCAGGGTAGCTGAATAGCACAACTTGACAAGAACTTCATTCTATTGTAGGTCCCATGAGACCTACTACCACTTTTGTTGGCTGCACAGGTGCTTGCCCAACTATGTTTGGTCACATGGATTAAAGAAACACCACAGCGATTTCACTTATAACTCCCTGACTTCTGAAACAACTAGATTCTTTGACATAGTTCTGAGAAGTCCACCTACAATTTGTATTACCTTTTTAATTAAATTTTTATTTTTTTAATATTAGTTACAGCTTATTAACTTTGTATTCCAGCTGTAGCCCCCTCCCTCATTCCCTCCTAATCCCACCCTTCATCCCTCATCTCCTCCTTGCCCCTTTCCAAGTCCACTGATAGGGGAGGTCCTCCTCCCCTTCCATCTGACCCTAGCTTATCAGGTCTCATCACATCAGGACTGGCTGCAATGTCCTCCTCTATGGCCTAGCAAGGCTGGTCCTGGGGAGGGAGGTCAAAGAGCAGGCCACTGAGTTAATGTCAGAAATAGTCCCTGTTCCCCTTACTAGGGAACCCACTTGGATACTGAGCTACCACGGGCTACATCCTAGCAGAGGTTTTGAGTTTGGTCTCTGGGCCATAGGCAGGGTCCTGTCCATTCCTGGGATGGGTTATCTAAGGGGTTATGCCCTACATACTCACTGTATAAGTTTTAAAAGTATAAAGAGGGCTCAGGTAACAGCTAACCAGGTAAGGGACTTGCTCCACAAGCATGAGAATTGTAGTCTGAATCTTTAACACCAAAGTAAAAAGCTGGGCGTGAGCTGGGCATGGTGGCACATGCCTTTCATTTCAATAGTCAGCAGGCGGAAGCAGGCAGACTTCTGTGTGTCCTTTGCTAATCTGGTCTACACAGATACTACTATGACAGGAGAACATAGTGACACTATGTCTCAACAACAACAACGAACAAATAAAACTCAACAATAACAAGAACAAAAGCAAAGACAAATAAAATTCAACAACAAAAACAAAACAAAACACACAAAAAGTGTGGCATGGGTATACACTTGCCTGACTTCAAGGCTTGTGGGTAGTGTGGAGTCAGTAAGCTTGCTAGGGCTTACTGGCCACCAGCTTAACTCTAGGTTCAGTAGGGGTTATTCTCAAAGGATGGTAGAGGGAGAGAGTAGGACAGCCAACATCCTCAGCCACCCATCTCCAGTGTGAGCATTTACCACACACACATACGTATACCACATCCATATAGCTCACACACTTATGTAAATACAAAATTAAAAAAAATAAAAATAGAAAGGAGAATAAAAACTGCTTGTAATTTTTATCATTTAAAGATAATTTTGACATTCAATATATTTATTGTTGATATTTTTAATGTGTGAATATAATTTTAGTAGCACTTTCCATATAGAAATTATACTCTACTGTCCTTCACACTGTTTTATTGTGTTTTCCTAGGATAAAAAAATGTTCCCAACTCATTACTTTAATTGCATAACTCTCTGATATTGATGCCCCAAGTGCTTTATACACTTTTTTCCCCACTGAGCTTATATTTCTATAAAAGGACACAGTAACATCCAGGCTCATGGACCTAATCCCTGCCTCCAAGACTCTGTGCTTCCCAAACACTCTACTGAGGACTTTCCTGCTCATGCCCATCACTGGGAACTAACTGAGCAACAGGCAGTAAGAGCATGTCTACAATTCCCTGCTTCCACAGTTTGATCACGTCAAGCTTACACTCCCCTGCACCTCCAATCTTCTCTCTCTTATCTCATTCAATATTGTCTTCCTTTTTGTTTTAAATAAAGTTTTAAGATATTTCTTTCTTATTTTTATTCTTCCTATTTCTTTTGGTGCATGTCTGTGGCAATAAGTGTCATGACCCATGTGGGTCATGGCATGTGTATAGAGGTCAAAGGACAACCTGCAAGCCAGGTCTTTCACTAAGTGGGTCCTGGGGTTTGAACTCAGGTTGCCAGCTTGGGCAGTAGATGCCTTTACCCACTGAGTCATCTTGTTAGCCCTATCTTATTTAAAAAAGATGTCTATTTTGCTGAGTCAATTCTAAGCGTCTGTTCTTAATTACACCTTCTCATGTATACTGAGAGGGTTTTGCTTCTCTGTTTCCCACTTAGGAGCTTTTAGCTTTTCTGCCTAAAAACTTCATTTCCATATCTTAAAGCTAATAACAAACCCAAATAACCGTTCTTTCCTTTTGTTACCAGTTAAGCTGTTCCCCATCTTTTTGTTTTCTTTATCTTCTCAATTCTATTTTCAAGCCTGTATTTATGAACTGTCCCTGCTTCATTCTGAAATGACTCTTCTGTTTTCAGGATCCTTTCATATTGCTGTACCTTTGTCAATAGACCTCAGACATTAACTACAACTTTCCAGGTACAACATTAGCTTGAATTTTCCATCCATCTTTACAGAAGCTTCTTCAGCACTGATACCAAGACCACCTTTCTTCATTAAACATTATTTCATCAGTACATACATGGTAGTCTTTACGTTTCTTTCACTGATAAGCACAAATTAAATTAGAAAAAATTAGTTGAACATTTTGAACACTTTTGTACATTTCCTTCAGGATGGGTGTTTTTATAGAAGATGCTACATCAATTATTTTGCTTCAGGCTCTTCCTAGTATACTGATAGGCTGTTTCTACACTAAACATTTTCATGGGACATTGACATGACTTGTGACAACTGACATGATGCACAGTAGTAACCCTTAACATGGCTTGACAATAGACTGCGTGTTTCTTCTATCCAGGGTTTCTCACCATTGCATATTTTATCTGTGAATTAATCAAGATAACTAGAGTTGTTCCATACAACTTATATTAATACAAGTTCTCTGCTTTTGCCATTCTCATGGGTCCTGCAAAGTCAGCTATCTGATAACAAACACTTCCTGTGCATATTGTTAGGGCTCCAGTGTGAGTTCTTTTATGAGTATAACAGTTACTGGGTTGAATGAAGGCTTTTCTACATTGTTTACAAAACTGAGAATTTCTTTTTGGAGTGTGTGTGTTCAAAAGTAGAGCTGCTGAAGGTTTCACCACAGTGCTTAAACATGAAAGGATTCTTTTCAAATATGCAAAGGGTCCTGAACCATTTAGGGATTTTCCACATTGTTTACATATACAGGTTTCTCTCATGTTCTTTCATGTATTTGACACAACTGTTGTGACAATCACAATGTGTTTTACCACAGTGCTCTCTCTCTCTCTCTCTCTCTCTCACACACACAAACACACACACACACAGCTTCTCCCCAGTGTGTTCTTTCACACATTTGAAGGGAATATGGATGACTGAAGACTTTTTCACATAGCTCACATGCATGATGTTTCTCTCCAGGGTAATTTCATGCACATTGCTTACATCCACAGACTTCCTCCCCAGAGCAACTTCTTTCATGTATTAGAAATGTAATGGAACAGCCAAAGGCTTTACCACACATCTGACATTTATAAGGTTTCTCTCAACTACGTGTTATTGTGTGTCTCTGATTGCCTGGCAGAGTCATTTAGGCTTTCCCGCTTTGCTTATCTATATATGGTTTTTCATCATTATATGCCCTCCATGTTTTACTGGAGATAATGTTTTTTTTTTTTTTTTTTTTTTATGTGTGTGTGTGTTCCTTACATTTATATATATGGCTCCTCTTTTGACATTGACATTCTTCTAGTGAGCAAGATGAGCTTTGGAGGGTACATTTGGAGATGAAAGGCCAACGTATACTTCTCTACAATACAGCTTTCTCATGCTTTATTCCAGGAGAAATTTTTTATTCAGGATAAAATCTAGAATCCGGTTTAACATTTCTCCGGATTGGTTACATTGTTTCTTGCTCATAATTTCTCTATCATTTGACCTTTTAGGTTTCCCCTGAAGTTGTTGCTTTCTCTCCAATGCTCTGGCTTTCTCCCTTTTGCCTCTTCCAGCTTTTGGGTGTTCCCGTTCTCTCCATAACTGTTCTCTGTTGCAGCCTGTTCAGGTCACAGCACAACAGAAGCTGGGCAGCCGGGTCTCAGCATCATACACAGGATCTCAAAGATGGTAGAAGCAACAACGTTCAGCCCCTTTTTGAACCTCCCTTAATCCTTTGGATCACATTATCTCCAAAGTGTTCTTCGTGGTCCTTTGCTGTGTAGGTGAATTATTTCCTGACTAATTAATTCAGCCACTGACAGTTTCAATTTTTATTTCTACTCAGTGAATTTCAGGCCTGTTTGTCTGATCCCTGTTGCTTTTAGTGTTCAGTGTCTACATTCACTGAGTTCTCCAGTCTATTATCTGAGACTTTACACTGCATATTTAATAATCTATGAATTTCATTAGTTCAGATGCCCTCTCATGTTCTCCTTAGTAATAAATTTCTAGACTACCATAGACTTACTTTTATCTATTTAAAAGGACATAACTTTAAAGTATTATTTATTTATTCTCTCCCTCACTATATTGATTGCATATTATATAATCAATGACGATAAATGTATGTCTGACCTGGAGGGGACAGGAGCTTTACAAGGAGACCAACAGACTCAAAATATCTGGGCTCAGGGGGTCCTGCAGAGGCTGATGAATCAACCAAGGATTACACACGGAGATAACCTAGAACCCCTGCTCAGATGTAGCCCATGGCAGCTCAGTCTCCATGTGGATACCCTACTAAGAGAAAGAGGATCCTGACAGTCCTTATAGGTTAGGGCCATATAGTAGGGGAGGAGAAACTCCCCTATCAGTAGACTAGAGGAGAGACATGGCAGGGTGGGGAAGAGGGAGGGAAGGCGGGACTGGGAGGAGATGAGGGAGGGGACTACAGTTATGGTACAAAGTGAATAAATTGTAATAAATACTAATAACAAAAAAATTTAAAAGTAAAAAAAGAGTATGTCTGAAACAACATTATATCCCCACAATGCTAATGCTTGATATAATCTACTCATCAGTATGTATTAAGATTTCTTAGATATAGCATACAGAGTTCTCCACAAACATAACAGAGTGGCACCAGGATTATTAATTTAGTATCTACTTTGGTGGACTGATATTATGGTTAAAATAGTTTTATTTACAATGCTAAGCAATACTACTGGTAACAATTAAACTTAGTTAGTTAAGCCTTTATTAAGCGGGTCATAAATATTTACCATCGAGATAAAAATTTGATGTAAACTTCCAAACTAAAAGATAATACTATACAATTTTTAAAGAGCTCAAAGACATGCAAAATTTTTATTTTTACGTATTAAAACCAAGAACCCCTGTGTCTTCAAAGTTTAGTGAAATATGAGATGAAAAATATTTTTTGTTTCCAAAGTTATCATTCATTGAAAGATCAATGAAAACTTTACCTGGAATGTGCTTTTTTGATGATTCTGTGTGATAGAAGTCAACAATACACTTACAAATTTGTATCCTTAATTTAGAACTTGGTATTTCCATTAATTTACCTGCCAGAGGATAAAGGAGAGCAATGTAATAACTTATTATAAGCTTATTTTTAAATGTAAGCATACAATACTGACATTATGATAATTATTTTAAGATCTCATCAGATGTTCACACTGGGTCTTATATTTACATGTGTGACCATATATACAACATGCATCACTTCCTATGGGAGCATTTTCTGAAACATTTCTTGCTATTTTTATATGAACTCTTACTCAAACATGCTATTAAATTACATACAAGAGAGAACAGAGCAACTGAGATACAGAGTAACTGTAAGATGTAGAAGGTTGCTGCTGGCAAACAGCATACTGTTTGACAGTTAATTAAAAAAGAGTTAAGTAGGAAATACACTCCAGATGATAAAACATGGTAACTGTGTAGTGCAGGAAAAGTGACTGTCACTTACCAAGCGTTATGCACTATATGTAACTATATTGCTGTATTTTCGAATATCTGGTGATGCTTATACCATCATCACCAGAAACGTGGATAATGAGTTGCACTATGGTGAATTATGCCATCAATAAGAGAGAGAAATTTTTGGCCCAATGATTGATTTATAGGGTCATCATCTCACATATGTTCTACTATTGGGTGAAATGAGGTGATAGAGTGCATGATAGTAAGTATTTGTGAGCATATGTGCATATTCATACGTGTCTACATGATACCCTGAATCTATCCTTATATAATTCAAACATGATGATACTAACAATACAGATACTGGAGCCAGGCTAAGTTTAAATTCTAGCTCTGTTACATACCCTCGGTGTGAACTAGTACCTTGGTTTTCCCATCTGTAAAACAGGCATAATAGTAACTACATTTAAGAATGCTGTCAAGGATTGATTTCATATGAGACAAGGGCTGAGAATAAGTTTAGCATAGTTAAGAGCTACATGTGATAGTTACTGTTTGATAAAATATAGGTTAGCATTCTTCCTAACTAGACTCAAATACTTGTGTTCTATACTGTATTCTTTCCTTAAAATTCCATATTAGCTTTGCTTTCAACTTGCTGGCAGATTAGAAGAGAGGAATCTGGGGCAGTCTTTGCCCCAAAGGGAATAATTCTATGTTCAGATTTTCTGGGTGAGGATGAAGGGCACAGCATTTCTTTTCAGCCATATCTATACTGCTACTGAGGTCAGTTTGGCTAACTCAATAATTCAAGCTAGACTGCATTCCCCAAGAGAATCTGAAGATAATTTGCAGGACTCTGCAAGGACCCAAGCCATCTGGACACCTAAGGACAACTAGAGTCAGCAGAAGCAGCTTTAGGATTAACCTGGACCAGGGTGGATTCTCTAAGCATAAAGAGCAAAGAACCCCTTTAAGCAGGGGCTTTCATTTGGCCCTAGTGTCACAGTCACATCCGGTGGTGTGGACAATGAGAGAGGAAGCATGGGAACAGGGTGAAGCAGAGGCAGGCCTCACCCAGCTTTCATCTCCTCCAGAAAGCTGACCCTTAATAATGTCAAGAACATCGCCTTACACATCATGCTTGGAGCTTCATTTGGAGTTAGAATGTCACTGTAAAAAACAATAATGATAGGCAAGAGGAACAACTAAGCTAGCCAAACATGAAGTATGGGAAACTTTCTCATTTGCTTCTCCATCCTTTCCGTTCCCACAAATTAGGACTCTTTCTTAAGGCTTCCTACTTCATCATTTTAAGGCAGAGTATCAACTTTTTCCCTTATTTATTTCCAGAGCTCTTCTCCTGAATCAGAAATATGTTCACAGCATTTAGAAGAAACCCTAACAATCGTTGATACATGGTAGAACCTGAAGTTATTAGTAATGGTCATTAACATATTTTATTCAATACTTCATATTATGTAATTTCATTTATGTTACATTTCTAGTAATTAAAAGAAGCAGAAAAAGAGCAGTATTTGCACTACATTGTTAGTGAAGGGAATTCAGAAGGAGTTAAGAGTTCATACTGTCCTCAGTGGCAAAGTCATGTGCTTTTACTAACAGACTGTCAGTAAGCAAAGAATAATCAGAACATAGGTCATGGATTATTCTAGAATGTCTGCCAGTTTTCCAGAAGGCAACACTCTAGAAAGCAGGGCCTATGGGAACATTTAAAAATAATGCTACCAACAAAAAAATATATTTTTTAATATTAGCCAAGTCATTTTTTAGAATGGCTTCCCATTTAACTTTTCCACTAGTGACAGAATTGAAATCTCCCATTACTTCTGAACCTGCATGATTCTTAAGAATTCTCTATGTTTACTTTCTGATATTTTAATCTAGTGTTTGAGATGAAATTTAGTAAGCTTTCTCTGAGTAAATACAGTTGAGGTGAAACTTAGCTGTAAAAGAATTATAATTAGTATTTAATGTTAAAAATAAAATGCTTTTTATTCACTTTAGTTCACCCTCTAAAATATTTTTGTATGGAGTATAGTGCTTGGAAAGTAGCTTAGGCAAACAGTTACAAGTTTATCAATCATTTAATGTCTTTTACAAATAAAGTGATTAATTAGTAACTACAAATTTATCATAGCATGTGTTTGAAAATCATCATGTCCCAGGAATGGTTTATCATATGATCTCATTTCTCAGGACATTATTTTCCTATTCCTAAAAACAATGAAAAAATAACCCATATATATATATAAATGCATAGTCTTTTATGACATTTTTCATATTTGATTTTATTTTGCAGTTTGGAGCATGCAGTGAAGAAAGAAGTACTCAACGGTTTCAGCAACTCAACCCAAAAACTCAAATGTAAAAACTGTCTTGTGTTACACCACATATTCTTGATCGGAGTTGGGCATGAATTTCCTCCCCTAGCTATTAGCTATTGGCAATTGGGAGCTGCTGAGAGACTGGTTTCTCTAAGAGTGCACGCTCCAGTAAAAGACCACGCGTTCAACAACACTTGGGCAGCACCAATTTGTTTTGATGGGGAAAAGGGCAACACAAAGTTGGGGTTAGATCTAGGAAGAGTTGGGTGAGGAATAAATAGGATCCAAAGATGGTATATGAACCTCTCAAAGAATTAAAGAAAAGTGATCAAACATGTAATTATACTATATATCAAGTCGAATAAGTGGAAGAAGTAAAAGCCAGTGTTTCAACATAAGGAACAGAGTCCCTTGCTAATATTATGAAACACCTCAGGGACAAACAACTCCAGAATTATCATCAAGTACACCATGATAATTCTCAACTAGAAAAGAAGGGAAGAGGGAATCTTGGTGTGGAGGATACCATTAAGAAAACAGTGAAAGCAGATACACTCTTTCCCTCATATTGGTCCTGTCATCTTATATTCCCCACCTAAGGAAATCTTAACTTACCCAGAAATGCAATTGCATTAGCAGTATCTTCAGTATAAGTTATTTCATCCGATACTTTCTTTTTTAAAAATGGCAAGCTTCAATAAGAATGAAGAATGTCAGAATCATTTGTCATGGATTCCTTCATTGATACATAAATTATAAAAGAGGAAATGTTTGTTTTCTAAAAAATGGGGATATTCTCTATTACTTTATTTTATTCTTTAGTGTAGAGAACTAAGAAACAAGCAGGAAGAAATTGTTTTTCTAACAGGCTAGAGAGAAAACAAAACATGTTCATAAGAACAAAGAGACAGAGATATAAAAGGTATGAGATAAGAAAGTAACCTTACTTCACTATTAATAATATATTTACAAATCATCTTTCTGAGGGCAAAGTCATAGTGAATTATAGCTGAAATCAAATAACTATCTTTTTCCAAAGGTCAGTGCCTACTCCTTATTAATTAGATTAGGAACTATTCGCAAAAGAACCGAATACTTTTGGGAACAATAACTAATTTGACTTTAAAAATATTAATTATATTAAAATTGCAATTCAGTTACTATAACTAAAGTTATCTGAAAATATTATAAATCAGAAAAGAACAAGCTTATAAATCCCATGTCATCATACTAAACTTTTTAAAGGACAGATAAAAATTACTTTTAAAACAAATTATAGGCCATTTGGAATCTCCTGTGTTATTTGAAGTATAACATATTTATATATACAACTTCCAACTCATGGCTTTCAAAACATTTACCAAATAGTTGGAAAGTGGCATTGAAAACAATCATATGTGAATACAGAATACACAAGTTACTTTGAATTTTAAAAAAAGCTACAAAGAGACAATGTTATAATTCCCCTGGGGACTCATTCCTATTATTTTATAATTAAATTCAAAACAAATAACATTATCATATAGTTGACTGATGGATAGCTAAAGATCTCAAAATTGAAATTCTAAATATCATGACCCATTTTTACATTTTTTTTCTACCAAAGGAGACTTCCATAGGATAAAGTATTAGGGTAGGAGGTTCAACCCAAAAGGTTATACAGGAAAGAAGAATGTGCTCCTGATATAATGAAAAAAAGCAACTAGAGACCAAAGCAGAAAAGTATGATGTATTTTGAATGTTTTAATCTCCAACATATTGAAAGACAGCCATGTGAGGATTAGGTGTAGTGAAATGCCGAATATAGGTGGAAACTTGAAATGTAAAAAAAATTAATAATGTGAATAATTTCAAAAAAAGGGGGGGGAGGGAAGAGCACAATTAAAAAGATTTGTAAAGTTACAGTGAGGCACTCTACAGGCTGAGAGCCAGCTGTATAGAGCAGACGCTGGAGGGACGGCTGTGAGGCCAGTCTTTAGATCCTGACAGGCCCCATACTTGAAAGGGCTGCCTGAAACACAGTCTCAGAGCAACACGAAAACTCAGTTAGTTCTCTGAAAGCACTAGACCAATCATTTATTTCTTTGTTTACAGAATCTCTATTAAAAAGTAAGACCAGGTATAGGTTGCTGGTAAGCTGCTTCTCATTATTTTAGTATGATATCAAAGAATCAAATGCAAATGGCTATATGATTTTTATTTTACTGCTGCTAAATCTGAGTTGGAGTGTCCCTGTATATATACATTGTCCTACTAATAGTGTCACTTTGCTATTTCAAACATTAAGTTGATAGATAGGTTTAGGAGATAAAATTATCTAAATGATTTCTTTCCAACTTTAACAAGTCTCTTCTATAGACTATTGATCTGTATTTACACATACAGCTAGATCAGCCACTATGTGGCAGCAAAGAAGCAAATTTATATGTTATGGGGGGTGTGGGTGCTTACAACGTTATTTAAAGATACTCTCAAAATACTACAGCCCTTTGGTTTAATCTGTTGCTTACCAATCATATGAGAATGACTACTTCTAAGAAATTACTTTATATATGCTTACAATTTCTGTAGAAATCTGAGACTGTAAGAACATTTGAAATAGTAAGTGCTCAAATCCTCTCACTAACTGGTTTAAGTTTTGCTTTTTAGCTCTATATTATTCTGATATACTATATCGCTAAGATCTTTGCAATACAAAATAGAGCATAGAGCAGTACAAAGTAAAGGTTAAAGAAAAACAACTTACCCAAACAATTTTATGATGTCAGATGCAGGATCAACAAAAGAGGGTTGTTTTTCAATTTTTTCTGCACACAGACTCAGAATTTTAAATATCTGTGACAAATCTCTTAGAGGCTTTAATACTTTTGTTAAGAAATAAAATTACCATTAATTTATAAACATATTTTTATAGAACTTTGCTCTAGGAAGTTTACAAAATTCCATCAATTTTCTTAAATTTTATTTAGCTCAACGTGTAAAGAGAATAGTGTATAACTATACTTTTAGCAACATTTTTTTGTCTCAGAGACCTTTATTTAAACTTACTACAACACAAACAGATAAAATCTTATTTTAATGTAATACTTTATTTTTCTCAGATGCATTTTTTCCTAATTAGCATTAAATTGTTTGCGATTTTATTTCTCATTTAAAGCTGACATAATAGCAAAATGAACTTCTTCTACAACTTCAAATAATTACATTTTATTTCACCTTCTTTTTTTTAAGTGTGACTAATACAAACCCAAATTTCCTTGATTTTGTTTGATGGCTAGGAGATCACAGTGCTTATGGCCACAGGCCCCTGGCTGCCCTGCTTCCTCTTGTTGCTAGCTTCCTTGCAGGAGCTTTTTAGGGAGGGAGAGGGCACACCTCTGTTAACTTCTATTATGCAGCAACTTTTCCTGAATTGAAGCATCTGCTCCTAGAAAAAACTCATATGCCTCAGGAGGTAAAGAGCCTTACAAGCCTTGGAAGGCTGGCAATTATGACTGGGGGAGCTGCAGATGAGCGTCAAGGATGTAGCTTTATGAGTGCTCATTGCTAAATGATGGATCTTTCTTTTATCTGTGCTCCTATAAGTAGCGGCAATACAGTCAACGGGTCACTAAATTAGACTTGGGTAGAACTGTTATTGGTTTGCCACCAGTGTCTTATCTGGGTTACATAGGTTCTGTTCATGACTCCCCAGGGGGAAAAAAAATCATGAGACACAATTGGTGCCTGAACAAGGACAGGTGGAAGCAAAGATGAGTTGGGACAGTGTGATTATATGGGTGCTGCCCTGTGTGATTGGCATCTATGGAGGCCAATCTCAGTATGGGCTCTCTTCTCCATGTGGTAAGGGATGGTGTGCCTTCCTTGCTGTAGTGGTAGTTCCATGCTCCCTGACATATGGCAGGACATGCAAGCCAAGGCTGAGCTGTCTCACAATGGAACATCTTTGGGGGGAGTCCCGGTTTGGTCACCTTCTTTTATGTAGTACGGGATGGTGGAGTACCTAGGTGAGTAGGATCCATGCCCGAGTACACAGACATTCTGAAAACAGTTCAAAGGACTAGAGACTGCATGGCAGTCTGTCGTCAAGACTGTAATCAAGCTGTGGTAACCTCTGCCTGTCTACTGCTATATGTAATAAGATGTGTAAAAGAGGCAGACACAGCAGCTCAAAGGAGGAATTGCAGTGGGAAGGGATACAGCTATCACTCTCCATGTCAGCTATCACCCTCCATGTTAGCTATCACCCTCCATGTTAGCTTCTGATGTGGTGAGTAATTCCTAGAGCAGGCTTTCCAAGCAGCTGGAAATGATAGGAATCAGCCAAGAGCCATAAATCATGAAGAGGAGATGGAAGGTAACAAAGGATAAGCTAGAGCTGAACTAGACAGCCCTTCCTGGACTCCAGAAACTTAGAACTTGTGGGAAGAATCCAACAGTGAAGAGAAGACTAACAAATCAGAAGTGATAAATGATAAGTGATAAATGATGAAGGGAAAAAAAAGCCATGATCCAACATACAGATAGGGGCCTTAACAAGGCACAGTGAGAAAGGACATGTTGGGAGTGACATAAGATATCCTTTGGGTCTGACCTTCAATAAAGAAGGAAAAATCCATGATTTAACATGCTTTAACAATGAACAGTGGGGAAGATAACATGGTCGACATGATAGAAGACATCCTTCAGAACTGAGCTTTAATAGAGAAGGAAAACCTGTCATTCAGCATATAGACAGGAGTCTTAAAAATGGCCTTAATAACAGAAGTCTTAATAATAGAAAAAATGATAACCATGTCATACTCAGTACCTGAACTACTTGAGTTGGGAAATCCTTTTAAATGATTAATGACAGAGCGTGTCACAGTTTGGTTGACAAGGTATGGGACACGGGAGTGGATGGGTTCAGCCTGAGCGGTGTGGATGTGGAGAAGCTGAGCAATGTGACTATCCTTCTTTGAGAAAGAGCTGCATCATCTGAGGTAAGGTGAGAAGAACCAGTTCCCAAAGGACTGACTCACGAGCTATTTAGGGACACTTGGTTATTGCTGCTTCAAGTTCCCACAAATAGCAGGGACTGGAATACAATAGAGAGACAGGCATTACTGAGGGAATTGGGTGTGAAAGAGGTGTAATTTGATGCCTAGTTCACCAGGCCAGAGAGAAATGTGTTCAATTGAACATACAATACAAAAGGGTGATTTAGTAGGGACCTCAGGTGGCTTTCCTGAGCCCTAAGGTGAATATGGTCTTTATTGGGGGGTGGGGGAGGTTCTGGTGAATCTGACTTATATCAGCACACAAATGGGATCTGGCATACAAGTCAGGTCTGTAAAGTGCAAAACAAAATAAAACAAAGCAACAAAACCTAGAGGAGATGAGAGCAGACATAGGGTAAAGGGGATACTTGAGCCAAGCTAGCATCACCTGGGAACAAGGAGCCACAACTAAGGAGCTACCTCCACAAACTGGTCTACAGGCAAGTCTGTGTGACGGTTTCACAATTAATGCTTGATCTGGGAGGGCCCAGCCCACTGCAGGTGATGCAATCAATAAGCATGTGGTCCTGAGTTATTCAAGAACGGTAAGTGAGCAAGCTATTGGAGCAAGCCAGTACACAGTGTTCCTTCATGATCTGTGCTTTAGTTTCTACCTTCAGGTTCCTGCCCCAACTTTTCTTCGTGATGGACTGTAAACTGTGATCTGAAATGAATCCATTCATTCCCAAGTTGCTTTGGGTTATGGTGTTTTATCATAGAAAAAAAATATTAAAAAAAACAAAGACAGGATAGGTTAAGTTTTAATCATTAGGATCCTTTTAAGGGGACATGGAAGAGAGGAGTGTCGGAGAGAAGAGGGCGAGTGAGATGATACCAGTGGGAGGTGCCAGTTCATACACCCACGGTATGCAGGAAGCAGGGTGGACAGTCCAGGAAATGAGCCCCCTCACCTCCTCCCTGAATCTTCAGAAGAGCCAGTTCCTGCTGACACCTTGACATTAACCAAGGGAGATGAACTAAGCTTCTGATCTCTAGAACTATCAGATAATAAACTTATATGGTTTGTGACCCCTTGTTACCATGGCAATGGGAAGGATTCTAGTACGTTTTCTAGAGTTTCCAGATGAATAAAATGAACACACACATATAGAAAGGATACAAATCCGTTCTGATAACAGCACACCAGTTTTTTGATACAATTAAGTTGTTTTTCTTCTGAGTCCTAAAACAAATGGTCTGTTAACTCCTTTGTGCTATTAAATTGGTTAAGATTAAAAAAAAATCATTCAGTGTATTGACACATTAAAATTACAAAGTATTTGTTATATAAAAAGAAAATGTACATGTATCACATAAAGAAAAGAGAACAAGAAAGGCTAATGAAAACTGAATTCAGTAATGGATATGAGTTATTAAAAAGAAAATAAACTCTTTCTAGTAATAGAGTTTTTTGTTTTGGTGATGGATAAATACATAAAATATACTAAAAACTGAAACAAAATTTTATGTGAAGCCTCACAGATTCTAATCTAAGTGGCAATTCTGACTGTATAGGAGTTCACTGAATCCTAGAATTTGAGTACAGTTAATAAAAATCTACACAGTAATGTGTTTTCAAAACTCATGGGTCAACTAAAAAAACCTCCAAATCATATGTTTCCTCTTTCATTTTACATTCACTTATTTTGTATGTGTGTGCGCACATTTGGAAATTTATTCTCTATGTACGTGTGCACATTCGTGCATTCTATGGCACACGTAAGGACACCAGCGGACAATATTCAGGGGTTTGCTCTTTCCTTCCACCATGTGAGTTCTAGGGATTGAACTCAAATAGTCACATTCCATAGCAAATGCCTTTACCCAGTGAGCTCTCCTGCCTGACTTTACACCCTTTCAGATTAAACTGTTCATGAAGAACACTGGCTTTGTCTATATTTTCCACTCTGTCTTAAAACAAAAGCAACAACAACTAATAGGATCTCCGCATAGTTGTGTTTTTTTTTTTCTAATGCAGATATATTTGCAACTTAGATACTTAAACTTCACAGAAACAAGTCATCAAAACATAAATTATTCTTGGTGGGTTTTATTTTTCTTCTGTGTAAAGAAGTAAAAATGTTAAAACAATAGTGAATGGCTGTGTTTAGTGATCATAGCATATTACTTTGTTTGGGTAGCTACTTCTGAGTCGCTCTATTTTCTATTTATTAAAACTGTACACTCATCTTTGAAAATGACTGTAGGTAATTCTACAGTCGGTGCTATCTCTGAGGCACTTATCCATACTTAGGTAACATTAGGAAAATGTGTATGGACATGTGTGTATACACAGTTATATCTCTTTTTCCAATATTTTTTGAGTTTTCTTAAATAAGAAATACTACTTTCTTTGGATTCTCATCATTTTTCTCAGGACATGTCCTCTAGGTATATGTGTAAATATGTTTACATGTCCTGGCTTGGATTAGCAATTTCCTATTGGTTTCTTCATGACCTTTTGTTACCATATCTCTTCTCCAGTCCTATTTGGCAAGAAATATTGACAGGATAGATAGCTTTTCTCTCCTCTTGAAGTATTAGCTTAGGACAGACAATCCTTTCTCTCCTCATGCAGATACTTCTGATTATAGCCAACATGGATGGGTTTGACCTTCTTATGAAAACAAATTGGTTCTCATACTAAATTCAAATTCCTTGAATATAAAGCAAACACAGTGGGAAGGTTTTCAATAAAGAGAGATAAACAAGGCTTACATTAGAGGGAATACCTATCACTGTTCAGGGAAAGATGAGTTTCTAAGTGATATAGCAATAACTTCTACTCAAGGTTACTCACCAAATCATCCTCTTCAAGGAGTTTGATGATAAGATTGAGGTCCATCGGCTTGAAAATACTCTGAAAATACACAGCTCTTATAATTCCACAGCATGGGAATAAAGAAATTACATCAAGCACACACATGACCACACCCACCTTCCTACCCCTTCCATAATCCCACATACATCTTAAAAATTTCATAGATGTATACAATGCATCTTAATCATATCGGTACCCACTCCCTCTCTCCACTCTGTCTACTCCCTTTCCCCTACTGTATCTTCCTTCCTACTTCCAGTTCTTTTATTTTATTTTTCTAACCTACTGAGTTCAGTTTATGCCACCCATATGGACATGGGCTATGAGGTTATCAGACTCGGCACGAGTAACATGCCAGTGGCCACCCCTCAAAGAAAAGGGACTCTCAGCTGCCTAGTAGCCCTCAACTGCCAAGAGCAGCTCAGGCAGTGGCAGGGCTGTGGAGACCCCCCTCCATTGTAAATATAGCCATTAAGTTGTTAAATTTACTATTAACAAAGAGTTTGGTAAACAGAATTTTGCCTTTGCAGATATGGAGTTTTAACAGTGTCTGCCACCTGAGGTTACTTCAGCTTTCTCTTTGTCTTTTCAAACTCATGTGTTTTCAGATTTTATGATACAGATATAGCTACAAACAAATAGAGTAGCCTTTTGTGTTATAATTTTTGAAATACTTGCTTTGAGGGTTAGACAAACGTATTGAAACAAAAACTTGGTGCATTTTTTAATCCAATTTTTCTTCCACAAATAACCTTCACAAGAAATAGAAAGCAGCAAAGATATTTTTTCTATTTATCTTGAACCATCACTTCATGGTGCTATATACACATTACTTTTAAAGAGTTTTTCCTTTCTACTTTCCTAGCCTTCCAAAAGATTTTATTGTCAGGCTCTACGTTTCAGGTACGACAGGAACACTGTCCTGATCTCAGGTGGCCACTGAATGTTTTGAGACTGAATATATAAATGCACAATGACCAGTCTTGTGTGTTGATATTATGAAGTCCAGCTAGAACTCAGACCCAACCTAGAAATTCCCCAGAAGGTTTCTGTACAGAAACCTGCTCAGAAAAATCAAAGTTTGGTCAATGACTTCCACTTGCTCTACTGCTTACATCCTGATTTCCACTCGATGCCAATCAGAGAAACCCCCAAAGAAACATCCAGCATACAATGCACAATCATGGTTCCCACTGCAATTATATCAGTGCCCAGCCTCTAGCCTACCTCATGCTTCTCCTTGACAACCATTTCTAACCATCGAAACCCTGCCCCATCAAGCTTTTGTGCCAGTCTTGCATTCTCTGGCAAAAATAAGCAATGCTGCATGAGTCCCTCCCAACAGCAAGTTTGGACTAAATTGTCTGATTAGGGTGGTCTTCCACAAGACTTAGCCACAGAATGCAATGATAAAATAATTTATTTTTGTGCAGTGTGGTGCCCCAACTAGAGAGAACTATATTGGAGGTAGAAAACCTCCAGTAGTTAACTTCAGCACCTGATACAGACCACAGTAAACGAATATAAGACATCCAGGAGGCTGAGTCTGCAGGATCTAATAAGTGACGGAGTGCAGAGGGGAGAGTAGGAAAAAAGGTGAGGATGAGCATCTGCCTCGAGGAATCATACAGGACAGGCAATACTCAGCAGAGGTTAATGCTGGGGCTGATGGTGAGCTCCTCCACAGGTTTCCAGTGATGTCATGCTGCCAACTGAGGAGCCCATTTCCCATTCTGAATAACAAAGCTTATCATATTTCAGCTGCTGAATGGTGTGAGCACCCAGACAGCTGAGGAAACCTGGGCACAGGCTTCTGAATTGTGGGCTTAATGTAGTAACTGAAGGTTTGGGGTAAGTCAGACAACTAATCACAACCACCACAAAATTGATTCCCCATGCCATGCCAGGCATAGTTCTAGGTGCTAACGATATGAAAATGAAAGACACAAAATCTGCTGACAGATGTTGCTATGTTACACTGTGAGGGACATTAAATCAGTAAGTTCTATAGGACAGCGTAAGATATCTGGAGAATGTTCTGGAGAAAATGAAATGGTTATAAAGTGCTGGCTTGCTTGAAAGGTATAATTTCACACCCAGTAGTCAGTGAAGGACTGACTCACAGAGAGGGTACCATTTTAGCAAAGTCTTAGAGCTGTGGCTGAGGAAGGGGTAGTGCCTAGGCAATGGGCACAGAACGTGCAAAGGCCTGGGGCTGGAGCACCTAGCAAAGGATGAGAAGCCAAAAGGTCAGAGTGATTGGAGTACAGAAGAGCTTATAAGCTAGGACTGGTTTCTACTCTGAACCCTGAGTAGAGGAGCTCAGAGAAAGGCAGAGAAGTATTAAGATATAGTTTCTGCCCATAAAGAACACATAATCTAATGGACAGCATCTAAAAATGAGGCAATGACTAACATAAGGTATTAGGTAAGAAGCTGCCTGATTCAAAGCTAAAACTATCCCATTCTTGAAGAGATTGATAAATAAGGGTAAAAACACGTGGGAAACACATCCTGTCTGAGGAGAGGTAGTACCTGAAGATAGGTTGAGGTTAGAGAAATCCACAAGAAGATAAGAGGGTAGGCATTCAAACTAATAGCCCCTTCTATGTGCTTAGGCATTGTATTGGGTATTATACTAAAGATGCTACGGAAAAGGACTAGGAAGATCTTGTCCTCATAGTGGTGAGGTCAAGCAGAGCATCACATCCAGAGAGAGGTCCTCCAGGGTCAGCACTGAGCTTGGATAGCACCAGATCTGTGATTCTGGTGCTTTTGTGGGGCTTGAGGGAACAGTTTAAGTTCCCTCACCAGTGATGATAGCTGATTAAATGTTCAGTAAGGCCCAGATATGTGCAGTCTTTCCCAAATGTTTTTGCAGAAGACTGTGAGAGTCATGTAGGTTTGGGGAACACTTATGAAATACTGGATGCTTTTATAGGATAGGGTGAAAGCTAGAGAAGTTAAGGAATTTTAGAGCAATTTTACTAGATATGGTAAGGTACAGTATCCTGACAGGAACTGAAAGTGTGTCCAGGGGAGGAAGAAGCATGACAAAGTGTGAAATGGTTTCTAAAGACAGCAGATTGTGCAGAGGAGAGAGGTGAATCAATGGACAGGCTAAAAGGATTGCAACCTGGGTCTGAGAGTGTCTGTGATGAGAGAGCAAAAATAGAGGGCAAGAAGGTCTTCTAAAGCTCCACTTGGAGCCTCTTCTTTTTAATAACATTAACACTACCTAACCTAGTTGATGGGAGGTGGGATTTTGTTTTGTTGCTATTGTTTTGTAATCTCAAACATGGGAAACTATTTCTGGCAAGTTTTCTAGGACTTAGTTATGAAACTAACTTGTTCACACCCCCCTGCCACTACAACGCACTGAGAGCGGGATATTGGCTCTGTAACTGACAGCACTAGCATCCCTGGAGAAGTAGTCCCGGCTACTTCTCGAAAGACAACTCCACGGAACCAGACTTTATAAAGGTTCAGTTACCCTGTAAACATCATCAGAGTTTAACAAGAACAAAAATAGAAAGGAAAACTTATGATTGGAGCCATCAATAATAACCACATGGATCCTTACAAAATGTGTGGTGGGCATAGTGCTTCATGCTTCACAAATCTTTCTTAAAACAATCCTAGGAGACAGGCAGTTTAAATCTCTTTCACAGGTGAAGAACACAAGACTTAAAAAAGAAAAACAACTTCACCAAATAAAATAAATAAAAGCTGATCACTAAGTTCTAGTAGAAGTCTATATTTTTGAAATCTAAAAAAAAAAAGATAGCTTTCTTAAAGCTTTAATAATCATTTATTGTAGACAGAGTCAAAATTCTTATAAAAATAAAATTAGAATGTTCAAATATAATATTTATGAAAATCAAAACAAAGAAAAAGAACACAATTAAAATTCCAGATTTTAATTTCTATTTTCTGTGTTTACTACTGGCTTCAAACTTACAATCTACATTTTCCATAATTCCATTTTATGTTAGAACGATCTAACATTCTGAAAATAAATTTTGTTGTGGTTTGAAGCATACTTACAGTAGCTATTGCTTCCTACAAAGTGTTTTTTTTTTTTTTTTTAATTCTGACACTACTCATTGCATAAGTGAAGAATGTGCTTTGAAATGTATAAAATAGGGCTGGAGAGATGGTTTCAGGTGTAAAGGTACTTGCTTCCAACTGATAACATGAGTTTGATACCAGGACCAACCTGGTGACAGGAGATAGCTAACGCCTGAAAGTTGTCCTCTGACCTCCCCACAGGTGCTGAGGCGTGCACACCCTCCAACACTCATGCACACACAGGCAAATACATGAACACAAAAATATGTACAAAATAACCCGCATATTTTTTCTGTTCTAGGTAACAATATTCAAAAGTCAATTTCTCCAACCGTGTGTGTGTGTGTGTGTGTGTGTGTGTGTGTATGTGTGTGTTTGTGTGTCTAGGTTAGGCTGATTTAAATGCTTCAAATTTAGGTCTGTAATAAAACATAGCAAAAGGTATGGTAGAAAAGCATAGGTAGAAAAAACAGCATCTGTATAGCAGAAAATCTTTAGCTGCCACTTAAAATTTTAATGACAAATAGTACTAGAAGCTTTAGTTGACTCCCTTCATAAAGAATGAGGGTGAAAGTGAGTATGTCCCATTTTCAGAACATGGGGCTTTCTGTGTGAGTTGTTTAAGCTATCCATAGTCTTTACAACTGACATGTTAAAAGGTTTTTATGTTTTATTTATTTGCTTATTTTGTATGAGGAGGCGGGGGTAGAGGTGAGAAAACATATTGAGGAGTCATTTCTCTTCTGACATGCAGATTCTAGGGTATGCGAGTCAGGCTATCTAGCACCCTTACTCAGAAGTCTCTAGGCCTTAAACTGAATATAATTGACATCAGTAAGAGCATAATCGCTGTCATTATCATCACTTGCCTTTGATTTCTCAGCTGGTGTGTGTGTGTGTGTGTGTGTGTGTGTGTGTGTGTGTGTGTGTGTTAGCTGTCTCAACTACAAGCAAAAGTGGAATGCTTTGAACAGACTGCAAGTGTTAGGCGTCCAAACGTTTTGTTGTTGTTGTTGTTTTCCTGACTTGAGCAGAGAGCTGAAGGTTATCATCTTAAGTATTACTAGAAACACCGGGCCCCACACTGAGTAAAGAAAATGAGTGGCTACAGTTAATTCCTGGTGGATTTAAAGTCACTTATTTGTAAAAGCAACCGAAAGCAAAACATCCAAGAGGAACGAGAGATCACTGGAATTTCTCCTATTGTTTTCTATTTCATATATTTAGGTATAAATTGCGTCCCCCCCCCCCCCAGTGCTTTCTAAAACTGTGAATATTCATAAACGGAAAGACAGGAACAAACACAATATACGTACAGCTATGTTACGGCCTTTTTTTCTTTAGTTCTTCTTTTTTTTTTTTTTTTTTGCAATGATCTGTTGGAAGATCATTTGTCTAAACCCATTTGTCTCATGTAATCTTTGCCCAAGAAACGAACGAGAGCCAAACTCACCAACTTCTTAGTTTTGTTCACTGCTGAGGAGTAGAGTGGCCGTGCCGAGCCTCCCAGCCAGTGGAGACTTGTGGTCGCTTACGCTTCCCTGATCTTGTGCAGGAATACCTCCACAAAACGGATTAGGTAAATCCCCCTGGCACCCCTTTCTCTTTGTAGAAGTGCTGCTGCTCTGCGGGCTGGTGCGTAAACGTGTGGCTGTCCTCAGAGAGTTCGACCCAATTCCCACCGAAGGAGTCCCAGTCAACCGGCCGCCCACAAGTTACTCTCCGAGGCAGAGCTCCTGACGCAGCTTGAGACTGGAGAAGTCTCAGCAGGAATTCCCATAGTGGTGTCCCTCCACCCCCACCCCGCACCATCAGCGTGAGGCAAGGCCGAGAGGCTCCTCGACCCAACTTTTTAGAACATTTATAGCAAAAGCAAACCCCAAACCAAATATAAACACAATGAAGAAAATCAGTTTGGTTCCCAGCTGTCCAATAAAGCATCTGCCTACCAGTGAATTCAAGCTCTGGCAGCGGGAACTTGAGCAGGAAATAAACCCAGGGAACGCCCCTTTATAACAAATCTACAAAGACCCCATCACAAAATAAGAGTGATGTAGTTATCCAACCAAATGTCACTCAGAGCGACTCCTTCCCTTCGTGGCCACACTGCAAGAGCAGTGTTCTCTTCGGGAGGAACACGCACTAGCGTCCCCGGACAGGATGCTTGACGACATCCAGTCCCTCTCGCCAGCCGCAGGGGCCTCCAGGGACCGGACCGGCTCTCGTCACCTCCTTCCCACGGGCGGCTCCTTCCACCCAGCGGGCCCGGAGCCTCACGCCCTCTCCCGCATCCGCCTCAGGGCCCGGCCGTACCTGCCTGTCCTCAGCCCGGTGCACCGTCCCAAACACCGGCACGGCGCGGGGACTGCTGGACTTGGCTCTGCCCCTCGCCTCGGGGGCGTCCGCCGGGGGCAAGGCCTCCACTGTGGACATGGCTGGAGGCGGGAGCCCGTGGACCCAGCCGCGGGACCACGCAGCGAGGTCTGAGCTACGGAGGGGAAAGACCCCGACGGGTCAGCCGAAGCCCCCGCCACAGCAAGGCCGAGGACATCCAGCGGCTGCTACTGCCCAGGGCGGAGCGAGGAGCGCGGCGCCTTACAGTTGTTAACACAAACCGGAGCGTTGCTAGGGGCGGGGCCTACGGGGGCCGGGAGAGCCAAACTTGGCCGGAGGCTGGTCTGCAGGTGTGCGGCGGGGAGACAAAGGAGACCGGTGACCGAGATCGCGGTACGCACCTGATGTTTCAGTCTCGTAGGGATGCATTTTGAGGGGTGTGATTGGCACAGTGTTGAGAGCCGAGCACTTTCTGCAGAGACGGGAACGGTCAGTTTAGCCTACCTACCCAGATTTTTACCTCTTTCGTACCTTAGCGGCCTAACGGAAAAGTTAGAAAAAGGAGTAAGGAATTGTGCAGAGTGTTGAAAAGCTTTAGAGCAGTAGAGTGGTTGCTTGCCTAGAACGCTGGAAGCCCTGGAGTTAGGGGTCCAGTGTGGCCTGGGGTGGGAAGTTCACGTTTTGCAACCAGAGAAAAACATCGCAATTCTTCACGGGGTGGGTGTTCCTACTTGGCAAATTAACAGTCCAACAACTTGGTAATTTTTTTTTGTTTGTTTCTACAATGGTACATATTTTACTCATCGGCAGGTTGAGAAGCAACAGGGATGGAAGTCCTCAAACACTTCATAGTCACCTTTTGAACTCTAGATAGAGTTCTGACTATACAAGCCAACACCTTCAGAGGGCCGACCCCCTTTGAAACGGGGCCTACCTCATCTTTGCTAGGAAACGTGTATTTCCTCTGTGGTGTTGGATGCCACGCCGTGTGGCATGCTTTCTTCGGTATTCACTGCATGGTTAGTGGGATGTAAAACACGCTATGCTGCTGAGACTCTAAACCAAGGACACCTAACTTACTGAGATTTGTACCCAACCACTCACGCCTGGGGAATGCTGAGCTAGGGAGTGGCTGTGTGTCCCTTTGCCTGTGAAATGGTCCTTGCATTTGTTACTGAAGTCTGCAGTTTTCCCTCTGTCCTTGTCTGTATTCTAACCTCAAGCGGACGCCAGTCAAATTGGATTAAGATTTACCCATTTGATCTCACCTCAGTTCTCTCTTTAAAGGACACTCTCCAAATACAGTCATAGTCTGAGGAAGTAGGGGTTAGAACTTCACCATACAATTTTGGAAGATACAATTCAGTCCATAATAAACCTCACCATCTTTTAAGTTCAAATATGAATTCTTTAAACAGATGGAATACACAGTTTAATAAAATTAAACAGCTTTAATTTTTTAAATTAAAGCCATATTGGTATTATCACCTGTAGAACGGTGATATTTTTCAGTGTCAGTAAATTGCTATGCTAATTTAATATCTACTACTATTCATTTGATCAGTATGAATCTGCATTGCACTGCTCAACACACATGGATTTTGAGCTTTCAGCGTCTTATGCCTAAAACTGCAAAAATCATTTATTTCATACTTCATTTGCAAGTTAACAATTCCACGTGTGCTAATCTGTTTCCTGGGCCCTCCATAAACACACAGCAGCTATCACTTTATTTGGGATTGTTATTCCTGGGAAGGGGAAAGGAAAAAAAAAATGGGTGTTGCTTAGCTTGGCTTTTGAACAAGTATAGTTAATTGCTTGGTTTTATAGGATATTGCATCTTCTTGCAGATCTGTTTCTCCGGATCTGCTCCATGTATGGGATTACTCAACATGAAACAGTGTGGCAGTGGTGGTAGTAGACCATAACAACTAGGAGAACTGGGCAGCTCTGGGCCGCTGACCAGAAGGCAAGCCAAGAAGGGGAGGCAGTGATAGCGAGGGATGTAAGGTCCAAGCAGGAAGAAATAGTCACAGAAGAGATGGATAGCATACTTTTCTATAAAAATGAGCCATGTCTCTTTAAATATCTGTTATAGAACATACAGTATTAGACACCAGAGACTTAGCAACAGCTATATTCCTAGCTTACAGAATAGTTAAATATTGTGGGTATCCTGATCTAAAACTGCTCAATGAAATGAAACAATCTTCATTAATTAGAGGCTATTCTAAATGACTGCTTCTGTAAAATCAAAGTCCCCCACCCAAGCAAAACTATCAGTTGGATTGCTTTCTGGATGTCTTTTTAAAAACAAAGACCAAAATATTAGATGAACTCTGTCAAACATTCAAGTTCATTCAGGTTATTCAATAAGACAAAAAAGCAAAATGAAAACTTTTAAATAATACTTTTATTGAATGTTTATAAGGCATATCTATGAGATCGACATAAGATCATGGTGTGCAATTTGTGAACAGTATTTCACAGGACACAGGCCTTTAGCAAAAATGAATACACCTATAAGGAAAATTCATACAAAGAAAATCATACGAGTCAATACAAAATAGCTAATGAAAGATGGAGACAAAACCCAAGTATAATTAATTAACAAGAGACTTCTTAATTTTAATGTAATTCGTGTACTATCCTTTAAAGTCTAATAAAAGTAAGAATTATCACAGGCTAACCTATTCAAGAATGTTAAGTTGGGATTGCGGCAAAGAACTGGGAAGGATAAGATTTAGATTTTTACGGAACACAGATACCTGAATTTATGATGGTTTAAAAGCAGGAAGCAGAAGGGGTTTGCCTGCTTTCTTGTAGCCTTGCCTCAGCTGTCTCACAGTGTTCCCTTGACCCTCTGGGGAGAGTTGTTTATCCACAGCCTCATCAGCCAGACAGAGGGCCCATAAGGAAGAACACAAGCCAAGTTCCTTAGAGTAGAGTGCTCAGAGGCCAGGACTCCTCACAGGGTCACCTCTGCCAGTCAGTCACAGAGGTCACTCCCAGCAACACCCAGGTCCAAGAGAACGGCAGTGCTCAGCAGCTCAAGAGTGAGGAAGAGAGACCATGGTGGAAGAATATCTGTGCAGCTGTGAGTTATCCCCTGAATGCAATCTGTGCAAATCATTCCTTCAAGCTGGCAATTTGGAAATCATACAAAGCACCTGCTTTTGTGAGTTAGCGTAGCTCATCCAGCTAACAGGGGCCACCCTGAGCTATCAGGAGGATTCCTAGTCTGCCTTCACTGTGGATCGGTGCACAATGGAAATTGAGTGATGTGTAAAGTTAAAAACCACCTAACAATTCCTTGTATGGGTCCAGGGCTAAACAAAAACAGTTTTGTCATATGGCTAGAACCCCTCAAAAAACCAAGCATTTCGTAACACTCAAAAGTATAAAAGAACCTGTGCACTCCTGTGGTTCACAAGACCATATTGTCTCCCCTTAAATTGCTGTACCTTTATTTAGAGCTAATTACAAAGACTGGATACACCCAGAATTTGTCGCAGTGAATTCTGAGCAATGGCGGGCTGAGCACCTCATTTTCCTGACACCACAGAGAACTGAAAGAGTGAACCACTCTGTGCGGCCTTGCTTTGTCACAAATTTACGAAGCGATTTCTTCTATACTGTAGTCTGCTTGCACTTTGCAAAGCAGGACGTTATAGACCGATGCAGGTATAATTAGTTGTTTACAATATGGTTATGAATTACACGTATGGTACTTAGAGTTTAAATGCCATGTGAAATACTTATAAATAAGCCTCATCTGGGGAAGGAACAGTATAGAATATATTACTAATTAGCTTAATGGCATACAAAATTTAAAGTATGACTTTTGTTATATTACATAAGAGATAAATAATAGAAAAGTTGTATATATATATATATGTATATATTTGTTTGTTTGTTCATTTGAGAAAGGGTCTCTCTACATGGCCATGGCTGTCCTGGAACTCACTATGTAGATCAGGTTGAATATATTCTTAAAGCCCCTTTTAAAATAATTTTCATAATTTGACTGTAAGTAGAAAGATGTTTTATCATTATCAAATTAATAATTGATTTTGAAAGTAAAATCCTTCAGTCAATTTGAAGTTTTGGTAATTTATAAAAAAGAATCAGGTAGTTTAATAGGAACTCATCAGCCACCCTCTGTAATGTACAAAATAATTAGCTCTGATGACTAATCAAAATTCACTCATCCTTGATAATGTTTTAAATTTTAAATAAAAATCTCATGTAGATTATCTGTGCATCTTCTAAAAATAGATGATAATATGAGTATATTTATGTTTAAATGTGCTTTTTAGATATTCCTAATAAAGGAGACAAGAAATCTGCACAAAAGCTGAGCAGCATGATACATGTTATGTTCTTTTTTCCTCATAGGAAAAATTATTTGGCTGTCTTTACGAAAGATGAAGACAGGTTTTGTTTTCTATATTCCTATCTTTTCTTTACTCATACTTCTCAAAACATGTATTAGGAAACAGAATTTTCCCCCCTCTTAAAAACCTTCCCTCCACTCCCCTCCACCCCTAAAATCTTTTTATTGTATTTCATTTGCTTTGCCTGTTTGTGTGTGTGTGTGAGATAGACAGACACAGAGACAGAGGGAGGGAGGAGAGAGCATGAGGGTGCATGTCAGAGGACAGCTTGCAGGAGCCAGTGCCTGACTCCCACATCCGTGTAGGGCCTAGACTCAGCTTACCACGCTTGTCTACAGGTACCTGTGCTCTCTGAGATGGCTCACTGGGCCCTGCTCCTTACACGGTAAGCTCCTACCGCCACCTTCTCCCATTTGCCGACAACGAAATTCATTTTACCTCAGAAGCAAGAAAAACGCCTCTAAAGACAAAAAAAAAAAAAAAAAAAAAAAAAAAAAAAGCCAAAAGTCAAGTGCACCATGGGATTCCTTTCAACATTTTGAACTCTAATTACTATATTACATTTATACTAAAATTAAAATTATTCTACTTTTGTAGCATCCTTAAAAAAGTATCATTTGAAATTATATTTGTAGCTTTTACATAATTTCATATTTTTAAAGGTCCCATGTATGTATAATAGTAATAACTTTATATTATTGGCTACCTAACATACATACACATACACACACACATAACAATACATTTTAATCATCTAACTTTTAGAAGGATTTTGTTGTATTTTCACATTAAATTGCCTTAGAATGAAGTTTAAGAAGTAAGCTCTTGTTGAAACACATTGCTATTTTCACTAGTTCTTGACAGTGTCAGTATGTATGTATGTGTGTGCATGTACATACTTAGACAGGGTCTCAGTGTGTACTTCTGGGTGTCTTGGAACTCACTATGTGGACCAGGCTAGTTTCTAACTTACAGAGATCCTCCTGCATCTGCCTCCTGAGTGCTGGAATGAAAGGCATGCGCGACTACACCCAGTTTATAGGTATTTACTGTTAAATATCATTGTTGTATTGAATTCCTACTAAAATTAATGATTAGGATTAATATAATAAAAATGGGATATTCAGTATCACAGTTCATCAATAAGAAAACATCAAAGAATAGTGGGTGATTTCCCAGACCGACAATGCAAGAATAGGAAAGAGACACTGGTGGGAAAGACAGGTCCCATAAAATGAGTCCTTTTATTTTTGGTGGTTGAATTCAAGTCAGTAGGTAACTTTAGAAATGATACAATTTTAGGAAGAATACACATAATTACATCTTGTCTGTAACTTTCACTATAATATGGTGAAAATAAATATAGAACAAATGGAGAAAATGTAGTCTATCCTAAGGTTTGAACAAAACGAAATTTGCATATGAAGACCAGTACTGAGAAAGTTTATGAATAATCTATGAGATTACATGTCTCTGGAGTAGATTTATAATTAACTGCTTGTTCTAATATCCTTTATGGTGATAAACTGCTTCCTAATGAATGGTAGTAAAGGCAGGAAGTTTTTTCAGGAAGAGCACAGGGCATGGCCACCTTACGGGAATTTTAAGATTAAGAGTTATAGGATCCCAACAGTTAGTCTACAAAACCTACTCTAAAGGCTGTCAGTGACCATACAGGGAAGGAACCATCTAGACTGGCACCATGAATGTTCTGCATGGAGGTGGAGCAGGGAATAAAGCATGAAGAATGACTACCCGGCCATGGCTGCTCACCCTACCACTTCTTCACTGTGTGACCTCAGGCAAATTTAACCTTCTCTCCTTCGGTTTTTCCTTATGTGAAATGAAGATAATTAACTATCTCATTGGTTTGTTGTGTAAGTGTTCAATGGGACAAGACCAGTGTTTAGAACCATTCCGAACTCCCTCGGTGGACATCATTACAATCCCACAGGAAGGGACGAGACTGGTCAAAGTAACACGTACAAACTGACATGGAATGATGTGCAAACGCGCCACTTCCACTGTAATAAATGGACAGTTCTACAGTTCCTGGGGTTGGAACTATATTCAGAATTGCAGCTTGAGAGATCAAGTTTCACTGAGTCCTTTCCCTGACTCTCACAAATATAAAAATGAAACTGCTTTGTAACACGATAGAGAATAAAGCACTCATAAGTTGTGCATTAGCAGCATTAATTTCTTGTCTCCAATGCATTTTTGAATACAGTTTTAGGTTCGTCTTTAATTTGTGCTCATACACTCACACTGCTTTGTATAATTAATGACATTCTTCTGGTCCCATTTTATGAAAGTATGAGATTGCGCCTGTGCACCCTAGATACTGATGTGATGTGTCTCTTCTCAATAATATGTGATTATGCATTTCTGCATCTTAAATTGGATAATAATTAAAATCTTTAGCTTCCAGGAAAAAAGCACATCCACTGAGAAATGTTAAAAGCTTCAAGTTCTGCCAGTTTGCCAAGTGTTCTAAACATTACATTTCACCTATATTATTAACTACAAATATTTCTGCATGATTATGCAATACAGTTAAAATAACAATACTGATACAGTTGCACAAAGGAAAATACTCCTAGATTGTAACTCTATATGTGGAATACAAAATTGCATGTTGGCAAAACGTGACATCTATAAAAAATAACCTGAAGAAAATCCTATCTCAATTTCAGCTGAAATCTCATTGCCAGGTTTCATCCTGCAGCAAACTGACACGCTCACAGGGAGCGTGGAGGGAGTCCTAAAGTAATGGCATGGATGGAAGTGTATGTGGCACCAGTGAGTGCCTCTTTTCATCACATCACTGTGACTCTCTCTGGGGACAGATGAGGAACGGTTCCTCCCATGCCTTCTTCTAGAAACTGGCTCTTTTCCCAGCCCTTTTTAATTCGTTTTAGCTTTCGGCTTATGCACGGGAGGAGTAAAACCATCTTACCCAGAATTACAATTGAGGGCAAAACAAGTGCAAGGACGAAGTTGGGCGGTGTGTAAAACCGGTAGTACTCTTCTGCAAAAGCGCGTTTCCATCCGTAAATTAGCACGTGGAAAGTACTTATAAGCAGAGCAACGTAGCCAAGCGTAGACTTGAGATAGGAAAGGAAGGAAAAAGAAAGACATTACTCAACCATAAAATAACCTGTGCAGATATCCTATTTATGTTTTAATCTTAAGTGACTGACCTATTGTCTTCTGAATTAAGCAATTTAAGACAGTTTCAAAAATTTCCATATACACTTACGTACAGTATATCATTCTGGCACAAATCAGGCCATGTGTCATAAACTGAATAGTCTCATTACCTAATTTAGTGCAAAACAAGCACTTCCATGCCATATTAAAACATAACATGAATATTGTGTAATGTTTTATTGAGTGGATATGTATAGTTTAACCATCCCTTTGTGTTGATCATCCTGATCTCAAATATCTTCAGCTATAAATAGAATCACTTTAGACCTTTTATATTTTGATTTATGTCCTTGGGACTGACTCCACCACTGGGATTAGTAATCAGAACGTCTAGCTTTTCTTTAATGTAGATATGCATGCTATCCATAATGCCTTAGAAAGGTTATACAGCTGTCATTGTTGTGCACGGCTGTGGTCCAGTACTAGGGAGGATGAGGAAGGAGGCCTACAAATTCAAAGCAAGCCTCATCTACATCATGAGTCTGAGGCTAGCCGGGACTTACACAGTGAAACTGTGTCAACAAAAAAAGCAAAATAGTGGTTGGAGTTATCCAAATTGCTACATATTATATATAAAGCTGTGAAACAGTGTGTATATAGGTGCATAGAGGTATGTGCATAAACATATACAGTAAAGACCAAAGAATAATCTCACGCATACATATATGTAATATATATACAGAGATGCTAGTTAATAAAAAAACATGATAAAATTGGAGTGGCTTATTGACCATAATAAATGAAATGACTAAAAATACTTCAGTCATTTTATAGTTTAAAAAGTTACCATTTTTCAGTTCTCTACACTATTACATTAAGGCTACTTAATTTGACAACTAGTTTATATTACGCAAAAGTAGTAGATCAGTGCAGTGATGTAACGTCTAAGTTCAGTGGGAAAATGTCAGCTTTCTAGCAGGCAAGATATTTGCAATTATGTGTCTAACTCTCTGATGATAGGTGTCTGTCTAACAGAAGGCCTCCATTTCCTTTGAGGTGTGATCAAAAGAGAGAAAATGAATTTAGACATGGGTGAGTTGGAGGGGAATAGTGGAGAGTGGATATAATAAAAACACATTGTATACATATATAGCATTTTCAAAAAATAAAAATACTATTTAAAATGTTCCTAAAGCAGCCAGGCATGTGGTATATACCTTTAATCCCAGCACTACAGAGGCAGAGGCATGTGGATCTCTCTAAGTTTTAGGCCAGCCTGGTCTACAGAGAAAAGTCTGGAACAGTCAATATCACATAGATTAAACCCTACCATAACACTGTCCCCCTTCCTCACTCCCCCGAAAAAAAAACCCTCAATAGATAAGGGACAAAATAAAACATAGTATACTACCAAATGACTCTACTATATATAATTGTATATACTGTGCTGTACACCATTAGGATCAGAAAGTACAGACTGTGACCATATAGCAAGAACCCAAATTATATATATATATTATATATAATTAGATATATAAATAAATTATATATACACATATATATTATAGAAACATAAATATATATAATATGCAAATATATATGTACATTTAAAAATGTAAACCTATTATACAGATATCAATGGAGGTGAACATTTAACTTTTTAAAGAACTCAAGTGTTCTTTGGCTTTCTTTACAGATACGCTTGTGCATTAGTTTGTGATTGACATATTAAAATGCATTAAGAAGATTTACAAGTCCAGTTGGTTGCCACAACCCATTAGCATAGTTATCTAGCATGACAGTACTTGTAACTGTGTGTGTGCATGTGTGTTCATTTGCCTAATAACAAATTGATGCTGGTGAGATGGCTCAGTGGTTAAAGACACTTGTTCTGGCAGAAGAACCTGGGACTGATTTTTTAACACCCAAGTGATGGCTCAAAACCAGTTCAAACCTTCATTTCCAGCAGATCTGACCCCTTCTTCAGACCTCTCTGAGCACCAGACATGTACATGATATCCAGATATACATTTGAGCAGAACACTCATAAAAGTAAACCTTTTTTAATAGGCAAAAAATAAATTGACTTTCAACGCTAAATTTTCCCTAAGCCCACTTCCCCCTCTCTTCCTAACATGACAGAGAGTGCTGACAGCCTTCTCGTGTGATCATGTGCCAGCCTTCATTTACTAAACCAGAGTGGTCGAAATTTGTCCTCCAACTCCATGTGTTGCTTGAACTGGACATGCAGTTACGGCCTCAAAGGCACTCTGATCAGACCGAGCATATTTACTACTGAACTTAACAATGAAATTCTATGCTGCTCAATGTGTTACCAGACAAAACCCCACATACCTGAATAAAGCTGAATTCCCTCCAGTTTAAAGCGTTGCTCACTGATGGGATTGAAGTGACTGCCAGGAGGGACAGTAACCCAAGGCTCATGATGCCAAAAGAGATGTACATTTCGATTCTCCAAACCTCTTCCTCATTCCAGGCATTTTCGATATTTGCATGAACCTAACAAGAAAACAAATATGAATTTCCTTTACTCAGGAGAATATTAGCTGATTCTATACGTCACTTACTCTTGGTCAAAGAAGAACCAGGCCATTTATGATCGTCTTTAAGATCAATAATACTAATTTAGCATAATGAACTATTGTAGATAACCTCTTCTTAATATTATTCTAGACAGGGAATAAGGGGAAATCAAAACAGGACTAAGACACTTCCTTTTCAAGCATGGAAAGGGAGTGGGGATAGGCCTGTGTTATCATGTTTACAGTGAGTTGCTATTGCAGAGACTCTGCAGTCCATGACCATGGAATGCCAACGGACAGAAGTATTTGTTCCCAAGTGACAGAAGGACTTGTAGTCAGACTCAATTCTGAGGTGCTTCTATGGGTTGGTATACGTGTGGCTGAATGTTTTGGGTATGCTCTGCTAAGTTTAACTTAGAAGCCAGGCAGCGACGGCAAAATTACCTTCTTCACCCAATGTCAATGTTTCTTTCTTAACCTTTCTTTCCTGGAAACCAAAATTTCCTCAGGATAAGGAGATGGAGCTGAAATATCTGTTCATTTGAATTACCTCAATAATGTACCTTCAAACTCCCAATTGCTTCATTTATTTGCAATATTTTTCTAAAAATCCTTCCCTTAAATTGCTAATACACATCAATCAAGTGTGGTTTAACTGCGAATTTATGTCTGGCAATCTTCATAGTGAATATTTCTAGAATTATTTGTTTATCCACAAACAATATAATTGGAGCACAAGTCAAGAGTTGGACTCCTTCAGCTGAAGAATTGATCTACGTATGTACCTTAAATTTGATGTAAGGTGGAAGGAAACACATTCTTAATACCATCTTAATTTTGTCCAGTTTCAGTTACAAAGCATACTTACGTATATTTTTAAAAAAGCCACTCCTATCAATATCCTGAAAGAATCTTTGATGCTCTGATGTTGAAAAAGCTCTAACCAAATTCCTGTCCATTGGGTGTGGTGGCTCATGCCTTTAATACCAGCCCTCACAAGGCCAAAGCAGGCAGGTCTCTGTAATTTTGAGCCCAGCCTCATTTACACAGCAAGTTCCAGACCAGTGAGGGCTACATAGGGAGGCCCTGTCTCAAACAAAACCAAACCAAAAATATTCCTCTCTAATAATCTACACAGCTATACAGAAGAACAACGTACACTGATACAAGGAAACCCTGTCTAGAAAAAAAAAAAAAACAGTACTTTCCCTCCCTAAATATACCAAAGGAAAAATGCCATTTAAAGTATATACACATTTACACCACATTAACTCAGATTTTACAGTTCCTCCTAAGGTTCCACACTAGAGCCAGATGAAGAACAAGCATGCCCAGTACCTGCTGATAGGCCATGTTGAGAAACAAGTATCTTTCTGACCTTCTCATCGGTAAGCAGAGGCTGTAGGCAACGTGGACAACGGCAAAGAAAAAGCTGAGCAAACCCAGCTGCTTCCTGCACTGTAGCCAGGTATCCAGCCAGGGAGGGAACCTTCGATACTTGGTGCCATAGTAAAGCTGATAGGCAGCCGCCAGGAGGCCGGCCAGGTATGCCAGGGAGAGCAAAGTAATGGCGACTATAGGCAAGGTTTTGTTCACAATCTCAATAGGAATCTTGTAAAAGTCACTCTGCTGGTTTCTGGCATATGGATGTATTACATCTCTGACAAAGGAATAAAGAAAGAAAAATGTGGCCAAGCTTATGGCTACCACCACCGGCCCCCTCCAGAGAGTAAACAGTCGCAGGGGTAAATTTTCAATCTCCTTGGCAGATGATAAAGATCCCAAGTCAACAGGAATAAAATTCAACTGACGGGCGAGTTCGATAACCTGTTGTCGAGCTTGGATATTGTTGCTGCATATATAAACCTGCAAGGAAAGCCAAAGGCTTGTTAGCACAGCTGCTCATGAATGTCCTATGGTCGGTTACAAACTCTACTCAATCTATGGTGCACTGTTTTTGTTGCTGTTGTAGTTGTTTTGAGTGTTTCCTTTTTCTTTTTCTTTTTCTTTAAGACAGGGTTTCTCTGTGTAGCCTTGGCTGTCCTGGGACTTGCTTTGTAGACCGGGCTGTCCTCAAACTCACAGAGATCAGCTTGCCTCTACCTTCCTGAGTGCTGGATCACAGGAGTGCACCCCCCGCAACCGGCTGCATGTTTTTAACAACCTCTAGCGAGGCTAGTGAGTGAAGATGAGAAAATGTGATTGCTAACTGTAAATCAGTCAACAGATTTAGAGCAGATACTATTATAGGTACTATTACCAGTTTTAAAACATTAACAGTAGATTAATCAAAAATGTCACGTTATGGTTAGATTTGTTACTATCTTAAAAGATTTAAAATGGTGCAATAAAAATAAATTAAAAAGTCTTTGCCACCTATGATGAAAGTAAGGAGAATCTAGCTGTAACCTTGAAGGCTCAAAGAGGTCCCCATGCAAGGGAGGCTGCTGGAAGAGGAGGTGTGACCTTCTATGGCACCAGGGTCACCGGCAGCCACAAGGAAAGGCACATTGTTCCCCAAAGGTCTGTGTGGCCATATCCTCCCAACCCAGCTTATAAGGATGAGGCTGGATCTCCTTGCTCCTGTGGACAAGTCATACTTCTAGGAACGTAGAGACTCTGCCTAGCAGAGTGATGGAAAGCCCTGCCCTTTACTCTTCAGCCAGCCAGAGTGCAGACGCACATGGACTCGAGGTGGCGGCCTTTGCAAGTAAAATGTACAAATTGTGTCATGATGCCAGGCTCCCTATAAAATTTACATCTAGAGGCCAATTTACTATCTATAAAACACTGGAATAGTTCCAGGTACACTGCTTTATTAGTGAGCATATACAATTTCTTAGTAAAATATGATTCTATAAGGTTTAATTAATTTAAACAGAATGGGGACTATCGTTTTCTAAGGCTAAACAGATCTCTATAGGAACTCTAGTGAGAAAGTTTAAAACCTCTCTGATGCTGCAATATACTCGAAAATTCGACAATCTGTTGAGCCTCAAGTTCACTGCTGGCGCTAGCTACTGCTATGAACAGGTAGATCATCTCACTCAGGGCTAGAAAAATATCCGTGCAAAGTCTCTAGTCATATCTGAGGAAAATAAATTTCCAAATACATCGCTGGAGACATTTGTGCAAGGCTCTAAAAGAGGCCATGCTTTTGCATGCCATTCCTATTTACACAAAGGTGACCACACGACACTCAGATTTGGGGTTTTGCATCTCAGCTAACAGCAGCCAGATGAGCCATCAACTCTGCGCTAAACAAATATGGATTTCTAAAATGGGAACTCTTTTGTAGCAAAGAGTTAAGGAAAGCATTTCCATTAACATCTTGCAGGTGTGAAATGGTGGTGCAAACCCTTTTTTTATTTGGAGAAAAGTCTATAAATGAGACCATGCAATAACAAATCTAGAACTCTAAGTGAAACATTCAAAACTAAGGGCACAAGCATCATGAAGTACCACTTATGTGGCTCTTGTCATGATAGAGCTTGTAGCTCATTTTGAATTTGAATTTAATCGCTGTTCCATGAGTTTTTTTTCTTCTCATTAAAAATTTAAATGATCATGAATATGAGCAAGAGATTATGTCAACTTTGTCTCACAGGCCCTGGCTTGAATTTGCCAAACATTATAGGATATGTTTTTTTTTTCTTTTTTCTTTTTCTTTTTCTAATAATAAAGAAAGGACAGTCTCTAGAACTTGAGTGTGGCTCATGATCAAACACTTGCCTAGCCTGTGCAAGGCCGAGTCTCATCACTAGCACAGAGCAATGAAAGAAACCCAGGGAAAGCACATACGCCTTTCAAATACTTGAGCCGTATGGCGGCTTAAGTCTATAATCCCAATATTTGGGAGGCTGAGGAAGGAGACTGCAGCAAGTTTAAGGCCAGCGTGGACTAAATTGTGAAACTGTCTCAAAACTGAAAGCAAGAAGGGGGCAAGGAGAGAGAAACAGACAGACTTGGAAGTAAATGGCTACTGTGATAGCCAATCTTGTCAATGTGACTGTATTTGAAGTAGCAGTTTTCAACTGAGTCAGTGAAGAGAAAGGAGAAGGCCAGCAGAATGGTGGCTTCGCCCTTTCTCTGTTTACTGCCCTCTATGATGTGAATGGCACTGCTCCTGTATTCTTCCCCACCGTGATGGAGCAAACCCTCTGAAACTGTAAGCAAAGTAAATATGGCTCCCTGAAGTCCAGGGACTTGAGTCACAGTGATGGAAAGTACTCAGTATAGATTTCACGATCCTGATACACAGTTTAAACTTATACAGCATTTACTGGATAAGCAATGTAATTAACTGTCTTTTTAAAGGTTTACAGTGTATGGGAGTTTGTGCACTTGTGTGCAGGTGTCCTCAGAGGCCCCGAGTTGGGGTTACAGGTGTTTGTGAGCTACTCAGTGTGAGTGCTAAGAACCAAATTACTGTCCTCTCCAAGAACAGAACGTACTCTTAACTGCTGAGCCATTTCTCCAGCCCCATAATTACCTGTCTTTGTGAAGAAAAATGAGAAGGTCCTTTTACCACAGCCATCAGATTTAATTCCTAAGCACAGCGCTAGAGGACTTTTAAATGGTCCTGTCTCTGTGTTTTCTTAGAGATGCTCTTATTCCAGAAGCATTAACAGAACCTGCCATCTGTCTCATTCACAAACTGAACGAGGCTTGTATGCTGAGAGTAAATCTGAGAAACTCAGTCTATCTCTGCCTACCTGCCCCACAGCTGAAAATCTGTGCTTAAAATAAACTTTACATGTTATATGCTATAAAAACTTAATCCATGAAAAACACAAAGGTTATTCTCAAGGATTCTTAAGAGTTATATGAAGTCCTAACTCTTTTTGCTTGTTTGCTTATTTGTTTTGTGGTTTTTTGAGACAGGATTTCTCTGTGTAGCCTTGGCTGTCCTGGACTCACTTTATAGACCAGGTTGGCCTCGAACTCACAGAGTTCTCTCGTCTCTGCCTTCCAGAGTCCTGGGATTACAGGCCTGAGCTACCACACCTGGCTATGAAGTCTTATTTCATTCAGAGATAGAATACTGTACTATCAAGGAGCTACAAAAAGACAGAAAGGGGAAAAGAGGAAGAAAGGAAGGGCAGAAAGAGTTTAAAGACAAAAGCACTTGCAATAGTCTTTAAAAATTCTGGAGTGTGAAAGTAATGTGTCACATGTGACATCAGTGAACATCACTCTTTAACTAGCTGGTTATTATAGAAAAATCCATGTCATTTCATCAAATGTTCACATCGCTGTCTGAAGAGACATGTACCTTTACAAGGCTGGAATCCCGTCTTCACGTGGCCATACGCAGTTTTCAAACAACCACTGAAATGCACTAGAACTTGGTTTACATGACCAGAAAACAGCAGACAAACAATAACAGTAAAGGCCACGCATACCTGGCGGCTGGCATCCTTGGGCCCTAACTGAAGTGCCCAAGCTGAGATCACATTAAATCCTTTGACAATCAAGGAGTCCGGGAATAGTGAGGCCAGGTACTCCGCGTTGGATTCTGGGTACTGGTTCACCCGCATGTTGTTGCTCACATCGATCAGAATTTTGCCCACAAGCAGGTGTCTCAGGTCCCACAGGGAGGTGTAGTGTTCTCTATGGATAGCCACGAATATTATGTTTGTTTTTGTTAAAGCATCTTCATGGTGGGTGACATCTACCACATGAGGAAAAAACTCAGATGCAAACTTAGGATTTCTGCTTCCTATGACCACGTGATAGCCACATCTGATAAGCCGAATGGTCAGAGACTTGGCAAAATCCCCGCTTCCTATGACGCCCACCGTGACCTTCCTTGCATCTTTGATAGCATTTATGCCGTTAGGTAAAAAAGTCTCCAGGCTCTTAGGGCTTCCCATCATAGAGATGGACTCCATGGTAGAAACTCTTCTGAGCCCACCAGGAATGTCCTAGAGGAGAGAAAAGGAAATGTTCACCAATTAAACCTATTGACAAACATTAAAAAAACTTTCAGACACTGTGATTATGTCCTACGTCTCTAAAGGCAAAATATTTTGACATGCTGTGTAACCCAGAACGCAGCAAGCACAATTTGTAAGCTGGAGATCTCTAAATAGAAACATTAACACAAAGGTGATCAGCTAAGTGGGGCTTCGCAAGCACACACAAATAACCTGGGGATCTTGAGATGCAGAGGCTCACTCAGCCAGTCTGGAGGGAGGATCTGGAGGCCGCAGTTCTAAAAGAGAGCTGCAGATGCTGCTGGATTGTGGAACCGCCTATGGGTAGCCGGGCCTAGGGCAAAGAAGGAGTTTCACTCAGAATGTTTGTCAAAACCAGCTCCAGCAAGCACATCAGGCAGCAAATCAGAAATGACAACAGAAGCACAGGAAAGGACCTTGATCCCAAGACATAGCTCAAAAAAAAAAAAAAATCCATAAAAACAAATTTCCATGCAATGCAACCCAAGTGGACACTCATTTCGGAGTAGAGTCTATGAGCTATCTTATGTACCTAATAACTACAAGTTTTAAAGGAGGCTAAGATAAAACTGCCAACAATAAAATTAATGCCATTACCTACACACTATTTAAAGATGAGCAGGCATCAAAATCTAGCAAAGAGCCAGGCATGTTGGCATACATATTTAATCCCAGTGCTCAAGAGGCAGAGGCAGGTGGATCTATATGAGTATGAGGCCAGCCTGATCTATGTATGCGTTCCAAAGCCAGCCAGGGCTACACAGTGAGACCCTGTCTCTAAAGAAGAAAATAAAATAATAAAAGAAAGATTAAAACCCAAACAACAATTAAAAAGCCTAGCAGTTAAACACCACAGACATCTTGACATTCTTCCCATATCACATAAAATAGCTCCCCTGTTTAATAAAGGGTTTAGGAGCGCTGATGTGGGTTTTTCTTTTTCTTTTTTTTTTCCCAGTTTCTGTTCGTGTTGGTGGTTGCTATTACTGCTGCTGCTGTTGGCTTGGGAGTGGCTCTGGGGATAGGGAGGAGGAGTCATGTTCATAACTGTGATATTCTGTGGCTGTTTCACTGTTCTTCAGGATTCCTTGGTGATCTTAATGTCTAACTTAGATTCTGTGAGGGAAGATCTATGACATGTCTCATTTCATACCTTTCAAGTCAGGAAGTGTAGTTATCTATCTACCCTCTCCCTCTGTGCAGCCCCAGGCACTCAGATAGTCCTAGGCAACCTGCTAGTACACAGCCGCCCTCACATTCCTGGAGTGGTGCTGACTGTCCTGGGAGCCAGCAGTTATGGGCACCACAGTGAAACCAATGCTCATTTCATCTTTAAATTAAGCGTGAAATGACCAACTTACCTGCCCCTTCTCATATATACACTGCCTCGGGATGAGAAGTGTTATTAGACCACTCAGAAACACCCGAGAACGCCACCAGTCCTGAGCTAGTCAATATACATACAGCATCTCTCCTGTCGGAACCGCAAAACTTTATGATTTAATAATCATGAAAACAAGGCCTTTTCAAGCTAAAAATAAAATAAAATAAATCACTTCTCTCCCTTTTAAAAAATGGGACAAGTTCAGGCCTCTGAATCAGCGTGTGAAGAGGTACATAAACACCTTAGAACCTAAAAATGCCAATGGTGGCCTCTCATTAAACCACAACTTTTGTATCTATTAATGGGCAACACTTGTATTAACATGTTTAGACATTATTCACAGAGTATTTCTATTGACAAGTTCTAACTGGACCATAACAGTGTGGTGGGGCTAGGAATACAAATTAACCTAATAAATGTGACTCTTTAATTATAGTGTGTTTGTGTGTGTGAGAGATATTTTCATTCGTTTTACCTTTTGTGTGTGTCATATAGATGAATGTGGAGATCAGGAGACAACTTTGTGGAAATAGTATCTTTCTCTTTATACTGTTTGCTCAGGGGGTCAAACTCAGATCATCAGAGGGACACAGCAAGCACTGCTATCCCACCTTGCCAGTCTAAGAGAGATATTTTATGAATCTAAATTATGAGATGTTTGTTGAAAGCATATACCACCTTTTCCTGTGTTCATAGCATATACACTATTTTTATGCATAATGTTAGTTTGTGAAATCCTCACGTGGGTGGAGAATATATGTAACCCCTCACCTTCAAAGTGAAGCAGGGAGTCAGGGAACTTAAGCAACCTAAGCAGCTTGACAGCAAGGACTCAAATCTTCTAACTGCCCACTGGGTCTCATTATGTAGCCCAGGCTGGTCTGGAACTCACAGAGCTCCAATGGCCTCCAGAGCATTGGGCTCGGAATAAAAAAATTAAATTGTATAGTCAGACCATACCCTAGAATGTCAGGAGAGAAAACTGCATGGTGTTTGGTCTCTTACTTCAAGACAGTCTCTCTCTGTCTCTGTGTGTGTGTGTTGAGGTTTTTTAAAAAAGAATTTATTTATTTTAAGTATATGGGTGTTTTGTCTGTATGTATGTCTGCATGCCAGAAGAGGGCATCAGATCGCATGGGACTACAGTTAAAGCCAGCTGTGAACTACCATGTGGTTGCTAGAACTGAACTCAGGACCTATGGAAGAGCAACCGGTGCTCTTAACCACCGAGCCATCTCTCCAGCCCCTGTGTGTTGTATGTGTGAAAGAAAATAAAACTGTCTTTATTTACAAATTACTCCCTAACTCATGGATAGCCCTGCATAATTTTGATGGCAGTGTGCCATGAGAGCAAGCTAGCTTAAAACTCGGAATGCCTCAACGTGAAGATGGCTTTCCGTGACTGCCAGTGTGCTGATCCCTGAATACCATCTAAAAGTCGACGAAGAAAGCAAAGTTTTCCAGAAACTTATTCCTTTATACTTAAAGAGTGTACCTTTCCTACTTTTGTATATCAAATGTCTTTTTTTCAGGCAAGGGTAGTGATGACCGTTGTCTTTGTTGGTAATCTTGTGCAGCCCTTGTCACTATTATTATTTTCTTAGTGGTTTGTAAAACTACCAAGCTTAAGGGCTATAATTTTCATAGCCAGTAGGAGGGTCCAAGTGGAAGGGCCCCAGTAGCTGTTAAGAGAAATGCTTTTCCCCAGAGAGAAGGCACCCTGGAGTCGGCCACCCCCACTCACACTCTCCATCCTTAACCCACAGTTATCTGCTTAGTCATACTGAAAAGGCAGGAGCACATTCCAGAAGTGGAATGTCAAATATCCCAACCCAATCTTCTCTAACTAGATGATAACTTTAACCATTACAACTTTGGCTCCTGCTAAGACAGTCCCTAAACTCTCTTGGTATTTACACAAACAAGTGAAAACCCCACCATTCATGTAGGGCAATAACAGGTTTCTATGGGTATAAAAGTGTTTCCGTTTTGTTTAGAGATTTTGAACATTTTCAAACCCTTCAGAAAACCCCATGGACAATCCATGCAATCATCTAATGTAGTAATTATTCCAGGGCTGTTTCAGATTTCCAAGGTATTTCTTAAGTTCAATCTGTATTCAATAATTAACTGTATGTAGATGTGACCTCATGTCATTTCTAAAGCCCGTGTCACTAAAACAAAATGTTATGTCCATCGGATTGCCATTACTGGGCTGGGCACAGCGGCACAACAGTAATCCCAGCACGTGGAGCCAGGAAGATCAAGTGCTGGTAGAGTAGATAACTTTAAACCCCACAATGCAGGAGACTGAAGTAGGCTCATCTCTGTGAATTCAAGGTCAGCCTGCTCTTTATAGGGAGGGGAGTTTCAGGACAGTTAGGACTCCACAGTAAGACCCCGTCTCAAAAAAAGAAAGTTCAAGGTCATCCACAGCTGAATAGTGAATTCAAGGCCAGCCTGGTCTCCACGGGACACTGTTCAAAACAGGGAAGGGAGGAGGGAGATTAAACAGTTCAGCTAATTTTAAAAAAGATTAAAAGGTTTCTAGTGAAATCTAATAAGTGCAGAAATTTAATTAAAACATTTTTCTCAAAGATTTCAGGTAATTTTAGTTGGGCATATATGGGCACCTGTGGGTAGGTACCCATGCATGTATGTGCCTATATGTGTGGAGGTTAGAGGCCAATACTGAGTGTCTATCTCAATCAGTTTCCACTTTATATTTTGAGATAGGGTGTCACGGCTCCATCCCCCTGCCTCAGCCTCCCGTAGTACTAGGATTCTAGGCGTTCTGCATGGGTGCTGGGGACAGAACCAAGGTCCTCATCAAGCACTTTGTCTCCTAAGCCATCTCCTCAACCCTTAGATCCTTTCCAGTAAATTTAAACATCTCCCTCATGTTCGCTCAACTATTAACATCAGATGTGCCTGGTGGGAGACATCAGTTTAGAATCAGCCCAACATCGAAAAACGCACACACTGACTCATTGGTCCCTGTTAGGTTTCCTACCAAGCATTCACTGAGGTGCTGACTCTCCAGTGACACGAAACAGGCACTGGCTTCCTGGTTATTCAGCCAATGAAATCATGAATGATGAATCATAACACAGAACTTTAAAATGCAGCTAGATTGAGGTGTCATTTGCACAGAGAATTTCTTCAGCTTAAACATACAAATTAATAGCTTTTAATAAATGTAAAACATTATGCACCCATTTTCAACATCACTCTCTCGATGTAAGAAAATTGTCTAATGCAAACTCCCTTCTAAAAAGAAAGTCCTGCAACCCTCAGTATCTGAAAAAGCTACTGACCAGAATATAACCTTCCTTTGTCTGTCTCTCTGAGCTATGGTTGCACAACAGCAATGGGGTAGGGGGGGGGGGAGGTCCCCACTGGTGGGTGGAAAGACAGAACCATTATCAGAACTGACTCTTCTCACAAGGATCTAAAAAGGCGGTCAACCCTAACTCCATCAAATGACCTGGAGAGATTTCAAAGTAATGATCCATGGTCACTTGTTCTCTCTCCATCCTGACATCAACTTAACTGGCTGAGAGTTCAGCCTGGGTATCAGAAATTTTATAGGAGATCATTGGGTGTGAAGAATAGGTCTACAACATCAAAAACACCTCTCAAAGGTTGGGATCCAATCTAATATTTATTTTGCTGTTCAGAGACTGCACATTTAGCTGATTCTTATTTATGTCTGTTTTCACACTCTTGTTTTCAACAGCGGAAAATAACCACACAGAGGATGACTGTTGCTCTTCATAAGAAAAGGTGAATTATACCCATGTAGCCCATCACCCCCCCCCTTAGAAGCAGCATCAGAAAACCCACTTGTTAATTTGTAATACCCTCCCTTTGCTTGCTGGGAAGAGCAATGCCATTCCTTAAAATGTGTCATTCACACCACACAGGACACGGAGTTCCTGTTTCATAACATTCAAAATTCCAAGTGTTCTGTTGCCATTAACTCTTCACTCTCCTGTGAGGGGTGTAGTTTTCCTTGGTTCTCTGGGCTCTCCATCAGTCCTTGCCAGAGGAAACCAAGTCTGTTAAGTGGAGAGTTTGGACAAATGTGAGCACCAGTGCTGGGATTTGCTGAAATATATAGTATGAGTGTCAAGGTCTGGGTGACTCTGACTTATGTCTTACATATAATCTCCCAGTTAGTGGCCATGGTACTGGCCCAAGGGCTGCCTTAGCTTAAAAAAAAAAATTCTTGATCTCTAAAATTTTATTTAGTGTTATTTGAAAGTAATATATATTAAGTAATTGATAAAATTATTCCATTTATAGCAAGTGTTATTGTTGTAAATGGACTGGTGTAAGCTTCTGAAACTATCTTGATTCTCAGTCTGCCCCTATGCTCTTTGTTAAATGGAAAACAATTGTACTTGACTCCTATGATCTTTTCCAAATGCTAAATTTTTCTTCTTTGTAAGGCTTGAAGCAACACAAAAAGTTACATTATCACCTTGTATTTAACACCAACTGCAGGAGTTCTAGTTAAGTATTTTAAGTAGCATACAGGCTCCTTACAATTTCAAGGCTACTATGGGTATTTAGTTTGACCTATACACTTAATATCTGAGGGAGTATTAACACCATAAGACAATGCAATTATAGTAAGTTACAGAGCCCTTGTGGTAGTTTGAATAACAGCCCTGAAAACTTCATACAGATGTGGCCTTGACGGAAGAAGTATGTCCCGGGGGATGGGATTTGAGGTTTCAAAAGCTCACGCCAAGCCAAGTCTCTCTGTGCGCCTAAGGATCAGGATGTGGAACTCTCGCTAATTCTCCACTGTCATGCCTGCTTTCTGCCACCATGCTTCCTGCAATGATAATAACAGACAAACCTCTGAAACGGTAAGCAAGTCCCCAATTAAATGCTTTCTTTTTAGAGTTGCCTCAGCCATGATGTCTCTTCACAGCAATCAAACAGTGACTAAGACATCCCACACTTTTTTTTTTTTTTTTTTTAGTTTAGGATTTCTTGATATTACTCTAGCAGAATGGTAGCAGTTGTGCTAAGTTGATTTTGAAGAACAGAGCCTAATTTATTTTGCATGGAAACATCTAGGATATTGATTGGTGGGTGACTGCAATTCAGAAACAGCTATGCTCAAATCCAAATGGCTCTAACCTATCCTGCCACTCCTGCAACCTCCCCTAAGCTCACTGCTCTCTGCTGACTTCTATATTACCCCTTCTCAATGGAGATGCTTTGTAGCCTAGCAGTTGTCAATCCTCACGAGACTTAACCTCTTTTAGAGACAGGGTTCCCCTGTAGCCTTGGTTACCCCTAAACTCATTCTGTAGACCACGATAGCCTCAAACTCAGAGATCTAGCTGCCTCTGCCTCCCAAGTGCTGGGATTAAAGGCACCACCACTGCCTGGTGGAGCTCAGCCTCTCCACCTCAGGGGCTCTTGTTTTCCTGACCTATTCATCAAAGGCAATGAATCTCTGCCAATATTTCTATCTAGCACCTTCTCATAACCTCAACCTAAATATTCGCACTGATATGTCTAAAAGGCAAAACATTTTTTGTCTATGGACCTCACATTCCACACCTGGCTTCTCCTTAAACCCTGCCTAGACTTCACTGCATATTTTGTGAGTTATTCCCTTGAGAACATCCTCCATTCTACTCACCATGATACACACTTAGTGAAAGTCAGGAAGAAGCCAGCTACTCACTTCCTCTGTATCTGTGCTCAGCATGGTGCAGAAGGCTAAAGAAAAATCAGACAACCACATTCATTGATCTCATCATGTGTCTTCTATTACCACCTTCACCCATCAAAGGCCACTCTACCCAGTCTGGCTGAGAGACCATCCTTTTTTGCCTCCTCAATGAATATAGTTGTAGCCTTTCTCATGACATCTCAAACTCAACAGGTTCAAAAAAACCAACTCTTTATCTACACTATTCCTGCTTCATCATTTCCTACCAGGTTCTCATATGAGAACTCTCACGGTCAACCTCCTGTTCTTTGCTTTCCTTCACTCTCGATCCTGTTCTTCAGAATACTTCCTGGTCCCACAGAGTAGCTCTGGCTGGTCTGGAACTTGCTATGTAGACCAAGCTGGCTTTGCCTCATAAAGATCTCCCTGCCTCTGCTCAGATTAAAGGTGGTGCCATCTGGCCCGGCTCCTTTAAGAGATTTCTTATGCCTTCTCCACTGACACCAGCACAACCAACTACCCCAGGTGTTTATCCTTTCTCACTGCAACCCTTCATTACCCCCCCCCCCACACACACACACACATACACACACCTCCCAAGCTTTGAGATGAGGTCTCCCTGTGCTGCTGAGGCTGTTCTCAAACTCCTTGGCTCAGGTGCTCCTCCTGCCGCAGGACCTGGTACGTTAAGCACACATCAATCATGCCTGGCCTGCAGACATTTTCTAAGTGGTGGTCAGCCTATCTTCACCTTTTACACAACCATTCTCCACCAAAGAGGTCACTTTCAAGCATAAACATCATAAAATGTTTCTTTCCCTACAAATCAGTGGCTCCTTCTCAGACCTGACTGCGACGTAAAAGGCCCCAAATAAGACAGCCTCTGCTCACATCTCTAGCCTAATCCTGTGTGACCCTTATTTCCTGCTGCCCAGCCCCAGAATCCTTTTCTAGGAGCAGAAAAGACAGATTTCTTTTCCTTCCTAAGAACTCTGTCTCCTTATTGGAATGATTCACTCCAGCCTACCCACCCCCAAATTCTTTCAGCCCTTGTTACATTCCTGGGGAGTTCTTTAGAGAACTGCTTATTTTACCTTTTTACTGTTTACTTACTCTCCCCAACACACACACACACACACACACACACACACACACACACACACACACACTTGCTGTCCATCCTGCCCCCATTCTGCCTGGGAGGAATACCAAGGATGCAACGGATAATCTTTGTTACTAAACACATTTTTATAAGTGCCAAGGCCAAAGAAAATGTAATGAGTCTGTAGGCCAGATCTCTCTTTCTGATGGTCAAGATCTGTGGGACCCAAAAGATGAAGTGATATGTCAATGTCATGGGTACATGTCGATGTCCTGGTTACAGGCCGAGCAGGGAGTAACTGCCTGTATTCCGCCTGCATCTCTTCTCACAGGCCTAGCCTTCCCGGCTTTTGGTGCATCTTTAGTCTCTCTTTTTAATATCATCTGTAATCATTTTGAAATTCTGCCTTCATCTGCACTGTGCCCCAGTATTAAAATACAATTATGCTCATTCAGTAGAAGTACATTTTCCATGACACCAGGACAATAAAACTGATTTGGATGAAGCGTCTCATCTCCATCTTTCACAACGAGCTAACTTACCACTCTTGATACTGTCTCCTTTCCCACCCCCAACCGAGGGACTGGCTAGCTGAGAGGCAGCAACTGCAGCCTGCGCCACCATCTCTCACACACACACCTCCAGGCAGCCTGATAGCTGTTCTGAAGTTGCTAAACACTCAGGGTTTCGTAATTTTCGTCCCCAAATAGGCTAACGGGTTGGGGGTGGGGGGAGGGAGAGCATAGTGTCAGAGAAAGAAAAGAGATCAACTAGATAAAGAAATAATAGAGATGAAAGGAGGGTAGATTGGAGACAGAAGGGGTCCCCGCAAGCAGTGGGGCAGTTAATTGGGACTAGAGCCTAAGCAAGTCATGAGGGTGAAGTGGGGGCAGGAGTCCGAATTCTATTTCACCCACAGTGATGAGCGGTAACTGAACGTGGCCTGGGATGTTTTTCTATCTAAGAAGAAAAAATAAAAAACAAACAAACAAAACTATATTCCTGAAGAGTACGAAACTGACACCAATCCTGCTCTACCAGGTAGTGAAGATAATTAATGGAAATCTCCCTACCAAAAAAAAAAAAAAAAAAAAAAAAAAAAAAAACCTTCTTTTTTTTCCCCGTGTTATTTTAAGAACAAGATTTTTAGGGCATAATTTTCAACAAGTTTCAGTAGAGGCCGAACACGGGACGCAGAGGTAATTAAGGACACTAACAGAACAGACCAATTACTTCTAAGGCAAAATGGCCTGAGCACACCAGGATTGCATTACGGAGTGATAAGCAGAACCACTGCAGGCATTATTTACCTGTTTGCCAAGCAGCGCTTTATGACGGCGAAAAGTGCCGCATCCATCCGAAGTGGCTGGCAAAAAGTAACCTGCGGGTCCTTTCCCTTTCGGGCACATCCTACCTGGGACAAGGTCTCTCCTGGCCTCCTTTCCGCTGGGCCCGACCAGAGGACTTCCCGGAGCCCCGGGAGGACCAAGGGGAGAAAGGGGCGGACTGGGTGCGACGGCCACCCTTCCGCACCCCTCCCACTTACCACCTGGCCAGCTCGCCGCCCGCCGGGTCCGGGAGGAGGGATGCGGCGCGGAGCTCCCGCTGCGCGGCGACCGCGGACTCCGCCACCCCGGCGCGCTGTCGCCCAGCCTGCTCGCCCCTCCGGGCCTCGCCGCGCCGCACCGCGGCTCCCACGCGCCAAGGGCCCGCCGAGCTCCCGGGCCTACGGAGCGCTCCTCCCGCCCGCGGTCCTCCCGCCCCCGAGCCGGACCGCGCCGCGCCGCGCCGCGCCGCGCCGGGGAGGAGGAGCAGGGGGGAGGCGCGCCGAGGCTGGGCTGGCGGTGACGCGCCGGGGGGCGCGGGGTGCAGGGAAGGGCCGGGACGCGGCGGCGCGTGGGGACCGCTCCGGGCCGCGAGCCCCACGCCCGCGCGCGGTCTCGCGGGGACCCCCGTGGGAGCAGCCCTACGTGGATCCCGCCCGCCTCGACACTGCTCCGCCGCCTCCCGGACGCCCGCCACGGCGCTCCGGACCCGGCTTTGCCTAGCGCCCTCCTCCCTTTCCAACCCCCTCTCCCTACTCCGTTCCACGCGAACCTCGAAGAAACTGTGCTTCCCTGCACACCCCCTCCGCCCCACTCCGGGCTGGATTATGTCCTTGAAAGGGAACGATCAGAGATGCCCTTTCGGGAACCGCGTCTGTAAACTCCCCGGGACAGGAGGCCCTTCGCAGCGGGCGGGGGGGGGGGGGCTGCGGGGATTAGTCAGTGGACCCTGACCTTCGCTGTCGCCCGTGCGCGCCAGCTTTGTGGGGTCTCGGAAGGTTAAGCCGAGTCAGGAGACCAGCGTGCCTGCAGGAGAACAGCTTACCTCCAGACTCCGCAGTGGCCTTGGAGCATCCAGGGTTCGCTGAGCTGTGTAAGGGCACCTTGCTTTCTGTAATCCCCCCCCCCCCTCCTTTTTTGGATTACCAAGTAGATAGGTAGCCTTTACCTTTTCCGTCAAAAGTGTCAGTGGAGATCTTTATTTTTAAATATAAAATCAATTTATCGAAAATTCTCAAATTTGGGCTTCCCCCCCCCCGCCCCCAGACGTTAGTAAATTCTCATATCAGCAAATAAGGTTTAAAAATTATCTTTCATGGTGGTTTATTAACCAGACAAAGCAGAACAAAACCAGAAGAGGGTCACTGCCCGTTGTTCCCCCTTTGGAAGCCATAGACAGATTAACATCCGCAAGTGCAATTTGGGAAACATTCTTTGTTTGATCCTTGTGAAAAGCATCTCTTCCCCATCCCCAAATCCGTTAAGATTTAAAGTTTAGGCATAAACTCCGCTGCTAGTGATGTCAGGGTGTGAGGCGCTGACAGCTGGTAAAATACTTTTCCATTTCGGTAACTGGGGGGGAAAGTCCACATAGTTTATATCGGTGTTCATTATTTCACTTCAACTACTGTCAAATAATAGAAACAGCAGGGTATTTCTAACACTTCCGGAGTGCCAAAGGAGGAAATCGCTGTGTCTTTAGTGTTTGGTGAGAAGATGTAGATAAACAAAAGCATTATATAATGTCTAGCAAAGGTTATTATGGGCGTTTGTATGTAGCCTAAAATCATAAGTTATTATAGAAAACCCACGTAAACTATGCGTTTAAGCTAACTTGCTCTGCTTGTCTTAAAAAAAAAAAATGGATATGTGAAATCATTTACCTCCCAAAAGAATGAATGAGTCAACATTTTGCAGTTTCCAGGAGGAATATCTGCTTTTCATACTTGAACTATTAAGTAAGCAAACATCCTCAGTAGGTGGAAAATGATATGTTGCCAAACATGCTCCAAAGATGGCCATAGCTCCTTGTCCATGTGCCCAGTGGTCATTTTTAACTAGTGTTTTCCAGTTACAGTTTCAAAGTATCTAAGGCTGATTTCGCAAGCCTTTTCCAGGTCATGAAGCACTCTCTGAGAGGCGTCCTCTGTTCCCTGAAGTAATTTATTCCACTGAAGCACTGCAATAATTCATTAAGTGAATCTCTAGTGGCCTAGAGGTGTTAACATAATTTCCCCCTTGAAGTTGTTATACAATTGAATAACTTTGAAATGATAATGCCTAAAGAAACTGTAAGCACCTGGAGCTCTCTGGCAACTCATTCACCAAGAACATGTTTATTGAGTTCCTGCAACATATCCTGGGTGGCAGGCGCTCTTGAACAATGGAGGAGACAGACTATAAGTCTTCCATAATTTGTTGTTTGGTGGAGAAAGATAAGAACACTGTAAAGTGTTTCTGTCAAGTGTAAGGCTTGATAGAAACAGTAGACTTTGGAGTCAATAGGCAGGATCTTCACTCTAGGGAGCCATGGTGTACAATGACGGGTCAAAGGCTCTCTGACTGTCACTTAGCCCATGCTCAACAAATATGATTTTCTCAGAGTACAGTCTTTTTGAACAGTGCATATCGATAGAATGACTTTTGCATGAAATCCTGCTTTTGTGAAATTAAACAATTCAGTAAACACAAGTCAGTCTCCTGCTTAAATCATTTGTGAATGCATATTTATATATTTTGAGATGTGTGTGTATACGCATGTGTGTGTTGTATAAATTGCTTGAAATAGATTTTATTTGAAGACTGATTTGAATAAGAATGGCTCCCATAGGCTCATATATTTGAATGCTTGGTCGTTAGGAAGTGGCACTACTTGGGAGGGATTAGGAGGTGTGGTCTTAGAACAGGTGTGGCCTTGTTGGAGGAAGTGTGTCACTGGGGGTGTGCTTTAGAGTTTAAATGCTTAAGCAAGGCCTGGTGTCTCTCTTTCTGCTACCTGCCGATCCAGATGTAAACTCCCAGCTCCTCTAGCACCACGTCTGCCTGCACGCATCCATGTTTCCCATCATGCTGACAATGGACTAAACCTCTGAACTGTAAGCCAGACCCAGTTAACTGATTCCCTTTAAAAGAGTTGCTATGGTCATGGCGTCTTTTCATAGCAATAGAACATTGACTAAGACAAAGACAGAATATAAAACACTTTTAAAGCAATTAAACAATACAAATGTGCTTCTGTACAAAA